TGTGTCTCCCATAATGTATCTTGCTAAAGCGGATGATACATAGTTCGTATGAGCACCACCGGACGCTTGCATACAACCGCGAATCGTTTTGTTACTACGAACTGGAAGGGAAGATACTAAAGTCCATTTTGGGCTCATGTCACTTGCCGCTGTAGCAACTGTACCTGATTCAGGCGTATTATGAATAAGATATTTACCATGGCCTTCTACATTGACCACGACACCCCAGTGGCCAACGAGATTAGGTCCACTTTGTTTCGGACGTTTGTATATAGCTGCTTCGGTGATCGTGGCATAATTGTACGATGTCATTTTTAATATGAAAACCGACAAAAGAGAAAAATATTATGTTGGAAAGAGTAGGAAGTATTCATGCAAAAGGTAACCAATCTTTGCTCTAGTTGAAATTTGATTGTATACAAGAGCGTCATCTATGACAACGAGAATTGTGTCAACACAGCAATGAGCATACTTTCGCTGACGTCAAATCCAAAGGATACTTCAATAAGGCAATATTCCAGTGAAACATGTCTATCATGTCTGTAATTATTATTATTTCTAACATTTATTTTAACTATCTGTACACAGAGACCAAAGCATGTTCGATTTTGTGTGAAAAGTTGATATCTGAAAAGAGAAAAGATATAAAATATAAAAGGTGGAAAAAATTCACAATTTACATTAGTCAACGATGAACACAAATGAAGTTCAAAGCTATTAATCTTCACAGCCCGTTCGGTAAGTATTTTATCCTTCATCTTTTATTCGTAATCAAAAATAATCTTCAGTTGTAATTTAGAGTTCGAACCAACAGCAAGAAGAATCATATATTTATTCTTATTGGTGTAGCTCTCTTAGCTATTGCCATTATCATCATTGTTGTTACTGTGAAGAAAGCAAATACGATAATTATCAATCAGATTGTGGAAACGACAACAAGAGTTACGCAGATCGTCTCGTTCTGATTACTTCTTTATCAAAAAAAGACAGGCTATCTTTTCTTAGAAACTTCAATGAGCAATACAACAACAACAACAGCAATGAATAAGTCTCCTAAAACTATGAAGCATGCACGATACTTGCATACAGCATCGCATTTGAACGATGGGAGAATATTAGTTTTTGATGGTCTATTCATCGATAATGCTTATTTGAACAGTGCTGAAATCTACAATCCAGCAACAGGAATTTGGAATGAGACAGGTAATATGACTCGTGCGCGGGCTCTTCATACTGCTCTGAGACGTTGATAAGCAGTACAAGCCGAATTCTCGATGAAGGAGATTATACAACAGTTGTATTAAAAAATGGAATTGTACTAGTTATCCGTGTTGGAAACAGTATCATGTCGTACGAGTACAACATTCAGCAGTTCTATTAAGTAATAGCAATGTATTAATTATTGGTTGGGTTTCTGATAATGAGCTAGTAGCAAGTTTTGAATTATTAAACGTATTAGCAAAAAAATGGATTTTTAGTAGTAATATGACATACCTTCGACAACATTACACAGTTTCTCCATTATCGCACGGACAAGTACTTATCGTCGGTGGAACGGCCGACCGTAAAGCGTCTAGCAGTACTGAATTATATTAACAGAAACCTTCTTCTTTGATAAACAATAAACTTTCCTCTGAGACACTTTCGCTCGTGCGTTTGGATTCGCCTTTTTGCATCGTTACTTATATGATCAACAAAACTGTTTTCCCTTTCATTTTGTGTCTGTCATTACTTCATCAGTAAACAACGAATTTTTCAAATCTTTTATTAGATTAAATACGATAGAGTCTGAAAGCCATAGTTTAACATTGTCGAAGAACAGCAATATCATTTGAGCTTCGATTTACAGTTATAATATCGAGTTTATTGTCACCATCGATATCATTCACTCCCAAAAGAAACGGATAAACTCCGATGGCATAAGTCATTTGTAAGAAAAAGCCTCCAATACCATTATTAAGGAGAATACTCACATTATTATCATTATAATTTGCAACGATAACATCAGGTTTTTGGTCATTATTTAAATAAGCTATTTTTACCGAATAGGAGCCAGAACCCGTAGCGTAGGCAGATTGATTTAAAAGTGTACTATTGCCACATTATCCGAGTCAATGTTTCTCACGGCACCAATCGATGAACAAGTCGTATCGTTACATTGATATTTCATTCCAACCAGTTTCGAAAAACTTAGTGAACGGAAATCCAGCGAACTCACTAGAACTGCCAGTATGAATAGATAGAGCAAAATTTGCAGTGTCATAGTTGAAAAAACATTTACAAAGTGCTATCTCCGGTTTTTAGACTCGTTCATATAAATAGAGACATCTTACAAATCTGCTATTACTTTTAAAGTAGAGATCCATTATCGTTTTCTGGTTATGGAGTCCGAGATGCATCGCACTTCTTCGGAGTAATCACAAGGCAAATGGGATGATTATTTGTGTTTTTCTGTAAACTCTTTGCCATAGGAAAAACTAAAAGAATATCACTTCAAAGAAACTATGAGATGAGCACGAGGAATGAATGACGCGCGTGATATTTCAAGTTTTTCACAATATATTAGAGTACAGTCTTATAATGTATGTATGCATAGATAAAAATTCTTGTGAATCTGCTGTTGTTTACACAAAATAGTTACTATCTTTATTTTGTTATAAACACGTGTGAGTATCAAGGTTGTTCTATTGCATAAATCCGAGTACTTGGTGTATTTTTGTGATAAAAATGAGAAATAGATGAATAATCGGTTGATTCAATGGAAAGAAAGAGAATAGATGTTAAAATTAGAATTTGAATAACAAACAGATAGGTAGGTGGGGAGAAAGAAGACAAAGAAATATACGTCAATGAAATATTGTTTTGCGTTATAGTTGAATGAATTGGTTGATGTTTTGTGTTTCTCGCCAGTGACGTACACAAGAAAGTGAGTAAGAAAAGGTTTTCGTATATAAACAAAGTTTTCACCAGCAGATTTTCATTCATTGATCAAAACAAATTTATCGTTCGTTTTTACTAATCTAATAATATATACAAAATGTACGGTGGATTCGGTGGATACGGCGGATATGGCGGTGGATATGGCGGTGGAAGTTCAGAAATGAGATCTGATATGTGGATTCAACAAAACATTCCCGGTGGATTAAACAGTATGTATGACAAACGATCTTCTTCATGCTATAGATGACTTTTTTAAATTTATAGGTGCTCTCGGTGAACGATTAGATAATTTCATGGGTGGAAATTCTAATCCAACATATGGTCAAATTTATGGTGGTGCGCCAGGTGTTGGTGGATACGGTGGTGGCTATGGTTATTCATATGGTGGATGGTAAAAGCATCCGCATTGACCACAGACAAATCTGTTTATAATCATGTTTCTTTCTTAAATAAATACGGCAAATACGCTATAATCCCATGCGTAAGAACTTAATCGTGTACAGGTTAAACTGAGAGTAATAGATAAAACGTGCGTATTGACGTATTTTTCACCTTTGCTTTCGTTTTTACCCAATACAAAGCCGGATTACGTGTTTTTGTTTATATCATATAGCCAAACAAAAAAGTCAGGTATCCAAAACGATAATGATCAAAGAATAAAAATATATGTACAGTGCATAGAACATGATACTATCGCATGTTTTGATGTATTAATTCATCGGTAGCCAAGGTTCTCAACATAACTGAAATCTTATTGAATATGTACAGCAGCTCCTATCGTCACTAAGCAGCATTGCGTTGTGTGTCGATCGAGTGTATTTTGTCGTTCTTCTAAGAGGAGAGAGGTGATGATTGAGTAAAAAAAAGAATTTTTTTACACATGGTGTGTAGAAACTTTTCTTGTCAGAATTCATTTTTCATTCAAGAAGAAAATGGATGAGAATAATTCGAACATGAAAGATAAATATGGTGATTGGAATGCTAATGCTCCGAATCCAGTCAATCCTGATCCTAAATATACGGGTGATTACCCTCCACCGAAATTGACAACATCAAGAGTTCCTGATGCGGATCCATCAGGTGAACCGAAAACAGACTCGTCCGTGATCGTTCATCCACCACGACTACCGGGGCAAAAACTAGGACCATTTCTTCAATTTCTCACCACTGACCTAAAGAATATGACGTGGAAAGGAAGCATGTTAATCTTTCGACATATTTCATCGGATAAACGACCAACAGTCGAATTTCAATCGGATGTGAAAATCGACTTCAATTGGGAAGTTCTATACGAGAACCTGTTCAATTTGCGTGCATATCGTGTTAATCTTTTCATTGAATTACGTTCCGGTGAAGGTAATGAAAGGATTCAGTGGACGATTCTGTGGGATGATGAGAACGAGAAAAGTAATGGTCACTTCTATGTTCCTCGTCTCGAGCAGAAGTGGCGAGGAGGTTTCTTTTCTTGCAATGGTTTCGATGCATATGTTCCCAAAGAAGTAGCTATGGATTTAACTTGTTCGAATGTTTGGAACCATCTTCTTTCGGTTCACGACGAGGAACCTTTACATTTATTATTCTGGGGTGGTGATCAGATTTACATTGACTTTATTTTCGAAGACGTACCATTTCTTCGTGCATGGGTCAATATGGAATGGAATGCCAAATGGACGACAGATTTTCGTGATGATTTAAAAGAACAGGTTGAAGAATACTATTTTAATACTTACGTTGAAAATTGGAATTGTCGTCTGGAAGTTAGAAAAGCACTACAATCGATTCCGAGCTTAATGATGTGGGATGATCATGATATATTCGATGGTGCCGGATCATATCCACCTCTACTGCATGATAGTCCCATGATGATGGGATTATTTGGCGCGGCACAGAAGATGCGGCTTCTCTTTCAACATCATACGACATTGGATCGAGCACGAGAACATTATCTGTTTGGACATGAAGGTTACAATTTGTTCGCACGATGTGGTCGACATCTGGCGATTATGGGTATGGATGAGAGGACTGAACGTAATACGGAAGCTGTACATCATGAAAACTCCTGGCAAATGATCTTCGATCGGCTTGAAAATGAGCTCGATGATATCGAACATTTAATTATTGTGTTTCCTGTTCCGTTTTCGTTTGTTCGCGTTCGTATTGCTGAATCAATTTTCGAAAAGATGAAGAATCTTCCAAATAAATGGCGAAAGCTTCCACCTGTCAAAAAAACCAATTCTATTTTTGGTCTGCCTGAACTCTATGATGATCTTCTCGACGAATGGACACATGAAGCACATGTCGATGAGCGAAATCGTGCTCTCGTTCGTTTTCAGCAGCTGGCTGAGAAGAAAAGAGTACGAATAACTTTTTTCAGTGGTGATGTTCACTGTTGTGGAATTAGTCGATTTCAGACTCGTGGAAATCATCGACCATTGTCGATCAATGATGCGAAATTAATGTATCAGATCATTTCATCAGCTATTGTAAATATGCCACCGTCAAAAACGGCTATTCAAGTTGCGCATCGATTTCGTACTAACTGGACACCAGTGGATGATACAGAGGAAGAAGTAATCGATTTTTTCAATCGAAAACCGGAAAATGGTGCCAAAGCTTTCCATAAAAAATTTCGTCCGAATAGAAACTGGTGTTGTTTTGAAGAGAGATCCAATACGTTCACATCTTCTGTAGTTGTGGCACAAACACACTGCTTTTCATGTCGTAAAAGCCATGTAACACCGATAAGTGCCGGTCAGCGATATGAAGGTGAACAACTGTCAGAGCAACAAACTGCAACAAATGATTTAAGAATTAGATTATGGCTAGAAAGTAGTCGCGAAGAGGATCACGGACGAAAATTTGTTGGCTATGATCTTCGTATTCCTAATCTTAAATAGAGTTTCTTTGCGTTGATGATTGTAAATATTTTTTTACGTAATTCTCCATTGGAAAGGTTTTGCTATTGACGTAAACATTTTGAATTCATCTAGATTGAGGATATTTCTACTTATAAGATAATTTTTCTCTCGAGATACTGATCTAAAGAGACATCGAATTTTTCCAGAAAATCGCTGTATCATGTTTACAATAAAATAATAATTCGTCGGCAACAGCGTTCTACCTCAATTAATTCGCACTCGCACACACGTACAGATAACCATTGAAAAGTTATTTGTAAAATTTACCACCTGTTGTCCAACGAATAGTGTCATCATCAAATCCTTTGAATATTTCAATCGAATTGTCAGCTGTGAGCTTTGACCATCCGCATTTTGTACAGAATGCTCGCACATCATCTTCTGATATCGCAGTTGCTGGTACTGACTTTCCTAAGATATCGCCAACTATCTTAGCAATATCATTCGGACTATAAGGCTCAGGTGCTTCCATTTCGACGATGACCACTGGATCAACTTCATTTGCTGGCCTGCTTTAACTACTGACGCAGCGCCTAACCAATTTGGTTACGGATCCTCGAAACGGTGATCGACAATGGCGTTTGATCAAATACCGCCATCAAGCTCATCAATTCTACTCTATTCCACTTTTGATTTGCCTTATCTCGATAACTATTCTAGTTATTATCTATGCCCGTGTTAAACAAATTTGAGCGAGTAAACATCGTCTCTTCAGTTCATTCATTATGATTGCATCCAAATGTATTACTGATCAACAACAATTATTCATAGCTATTATTGCTTATTTACCTTCATAAATTTCATTAGCAATGACTTTCTTCGTTTATGTTTTGCCTTCATCGGCGTACTACGAAGGTTTTGTGAAGAAATGTATAAGAAAGTTAACTTGATTGGAAAACTCGCTTCTGGAACACATGCATCTTTTATTTAACATCTATATATCTAAATCAGTAAAAAAAAGTCATTTGTGTTAAATTCGATTTTTTTCGAAGACATTCTTCATCTGTTCTAAAACATATTCCACATTTTCTTTGGTAATCATATAATGTGTCAGCAATCGACATTTCCACTTTCCGCTAACACCTATCAATATTCCATGCTGCACTTCTAAGCTTTGAGCTACTGCAGATGCATCGATTTGAATCTTTTGAGAATCAATTTCGAAAAAGACAATATTTGTTTGCACATCTTTCTCAGGATCGATTTTGCAGCCAGGTAGTTTTGCTAATCCTTGAGCAAGTAATTTCGCATGCTGATGATCTAATTTTAATAATTTCGGCATTTGTGTCAATGCAACAATACCAGCAGCCGCTACAATACCGACTTGTCTCAATCCTCCACCCAATACTTTCCGTAATCGCCTTGCTTCTCGAATAAATTCTTCCGTACCGGCAATAAGAGAGCCCATCGGTGCTGCTAAGCCTTTCGATAAACACAACGAAACCGAATCACAGCATTCGACTAATACCGCTGGATCAACGTCCAGTTCAACTGCAGCATTCATCAATCTGGCACCGTCCATATGTAATTTAATTCCATATTGTTGACATAACTGTCCGACGCTTTGAATGTATTCAACTGTTAACACTTTTCCTCCCATACGATTGTGCGTGTTTTCTAAACAAACCAGTTTCGTGCGAGGAAAATGAGCATCATCTTTTACAGTTCGAATTCGTTGCTCAATATCTTGAATCCGAAGTGTTCCATCTTGTTGTGTCGGAACCGTTCTTAGATGAACTCTACCCAAGGTAGAACATCCACCTTGTTCAAACAGATGTATATGACTTTCATCGCCTAGGATCATTTCCGAGCCAAATTGTGAGCAATGGTTAAGAACACAAATAAGATTGGCCATAGTTCCCGATGGAACGAATAATGCTGCTTGTTTGCCTAATAACTTCGCTGCCATATCTTGTAGTTTTAAAACTGTTGGATCATCACCGTAGACATCATCGCCAACTTCTGCTTCAAACATGGCTTGACGCATTTCTGCTGTCGGTTTTGTTACCGTATCTGAACGAAGATCAATAAATGATGTCGAAGACATTTTTTGCTCTTGTTGAATATATGGTGATGGTGATATAGCACAATATCTGACATTCAAAAAAGAAGGGTAAGATTTTATATGATGTCTTTTCTGCTTGTCATGTTTGATAACGATAAATACACAAAATAATCAGTGGTTACTTGAATATTTGATCTTTGTATCAAAAAGTCCATTTTTTCGAAAAAAGAAGTAACGTTGGCTTCATCGTCGTGAAATGTCCTGTCAAACTATTTGTGATTACTCAACATCATCTAACTAACAATCAAAAGAAGAAGAAGACCACTACGAAATAATAGAATGCATGTCTGTCTTATAAAAGTACATGTATTAGTTATCGTTCATGGTAATATATAGATCGATGGAATAAGTATGATTGGACCTACGAACTAACCACTATCTGTTGTTAAGATACTTACTGTTGCGAATGAAACTGTTCCGCTCGATCCAGTATTTCTTGGTAGAAAGTTTTTAGCTTCAGTTTTTGTTCATCGTGTTGTAGTTAATGCGCCTTGTTAGAAAGAGATAAAATTTTCAGCTAGATTTCTAACTGCCTTTTAGACCTATCCAGTGCGAAGTGATGTATTTTCTGTTTGATATGTAAACGTTCTATCATTCTAGGCACAAAATCGTTTTCGTTTGTGTATAAAACTAGGGATATCGGTGTTGAACTTCGAACTGTCCGTTTGGAATAGATACCTATTACCAGTTCCTCGTGTTCCACCGTTTGCTTTTACTGTTATGATAGCTATCGACTGTGTTGCGGACACACCATACGCTTCTAACAAGCAAAATGTTTTTAGTATAAAAACCATTTAGCACACTTTTCGTATGAATTACCAACAAACGAGAACAAATTGGTCTGTGCTCCATTAATTGCTGATCATAATTCATTAAGTGTACGAAGAGAGACTGTAGAATTCTAAACCTAATGTATCACTTTTTATCATCGTCGGAACCAGTTACGCAAGTAACGATCAGTGGTATAAAGATGAAACGTCTTTCTTCTCCTCCAAAGCGTATCGTATTCATCGTACATGATCTCATTAAAACTCTCAGCAATAGAAGATACATGTGTTGATCTAGTTCGTTTCGATTTCCGTATTTGCTTAACAGCAGCACGCGATCCCTAATATCTGAACTAGAAAAAAAATTTTAACCACAGCTTTCGAAGCAAAACTAACGATGGAAAGGTTGCAACTCATTCAAAACTTGATTTTAGCGTCTCGTTTGTTAATCGTGTACAATTCCGACAAATGAAGTCTTTGATGAAAACATTGGCACATTTTCTCACTTAATTATACTTTCAAATAAAGTTAAACACAATTACCATGTACTGAAAAGACAACTAAACTGTAAACGATAACGTATAAATCAGTAGTTTTGTTCTCTTATTATGGGATGTCCGAAAGAAATGTTGAAACGTCAAACATTTTGACATTTCAATGCTTCGTATTTTGAGTACTTTTCTGGTTAAAGTTTATGGGAAGCATAAGGAAAAATCAGCTCTGTTCAAAAACGAACAATCAAGTTTTGCACATGTGAATGCTCTTTTTGACGGATTTATCAGAAAAACAAAACGAGAAGGATTATGAGTCATACATTAGCATTTAGATTGGCGTTTATTGAGGATAATACTTTGAAAATCGTGTCATTCTTAACGATGTCCTTTTATGTGTTAGTATTAATCACTGTGTCGAATAAATATCAATCAATAGACCTGATATTCATGTACTTTTTTTGTTATTCGATGACTTATTCGCTTCAAATGGATACATTTTAATTGTCAAAGAGCGAAGCGTAGGAAGAAAAACATTCGAATACTATTTTCGTCAATAACCTCTCGGATTTCAATCATCTTGTAAAGCTTATACAATGAAAAGAAAAGGCTTAGTTTGCCTCCTATTTGAATCCGTTCCTTTTCACAGTATTGTTTCGATTCGATCAACAATAATCTAACTCAATAATATCAATTGAGAAAAGAGAAGGCAATGTTTTTCATTACCTTGTTCGCGATTCTTCTATTCAATAGTGTTGCATCTCAAGGTATTTTCGATCCTTCGACGTTTACACAGGGTTCTTGTACTGGTAGTAATNTTTTAGAGCTTTGCCGCCGCGATCTTCTAATTCAATGGTAACTAAATAAAAATTTGCTTCGTCTGTTCCAGATAGAAAACCATTTAACAACGCAATATTTCCGAATTCAATCTGTTTATTCACGTCAAATCGTTTCCAGTTGGATAATACCATTAATGAATGTGTCAGCATAGGTAGTCGGCAGGCTTTTCTTGTTACTTCCACCCACGGAACAGCTAAACATGCAGGTATGTACGTACTAACCGGTTGTTCACCCCAGACAAAAGCATGGCTTAACATGGCAAGAACGAGTAATGCACGTTGTAATTCGCGTTCGTCGAGTAAATCATCTTGTTCAATGGGAATGACTTCTAACTGGGAAAGAATTGTTGAGCGAACATTTCTAGCATGTAAATATCCCGATAAATCCTTCATAATGACCTCCCAACATCCAAATTTACTTGAAAGCGGTAACTGATCCAATGGATCTGGAGAAGGAACGAAACCATGGTTGATATCAACAGAGTACGATGCTAATAGACGTGCAATTTGGTCATCGAGTAATTCAGCAGTTTCGCCATCGAATATTAAATATGTTGATGGATGTGGTAAATCTGGTCCGTAGTATGGTACTAAAGTTTGATGTAAAAGAGAAGAGGCGTCTTCGATATGTCCGTGAATAAACATTCGATAAATTTGAAGAACGAAAGAAAAGAAAATACACAAACGATGATATTCTTCAAATGCACTTTTATTCTATGGGTTAAATACGAACATGCCGATGCGTTTTTGTTATCAGAACGAAGTCCATTACGCGAGTACATAGATAAGAAGCGACGAACACACATGCTTTTTTAGACAATGATTTACATGAGAGTCGTTTGCATAATAATAGTCACAATTTTTTGAAAGGCTTGTCTTCGCTTCATTTCGATGTTCTTCTCTATATGAGAGTAGTGTTACTATGGTATTGGAAGACAAATCTTGACAGAAAAAGAATGCCTATAAATTAAAAGTGTAATTCTGTTCGATATATATCAATTCTGGATGAATACATTGACGAGTATAATACTACTTACATTTCTCATGGGATTGTTTATTATGCCGGTGAATACTGGTGTTTGTACTTGCACCTGTGGTGGCTCTGTTTCAGGTACCTCGACAGTTTTATGCTCAAATTGTCACGTCTCCTACTGTAGGAGTACGTATACGAGTGCTTGCGCAAGTGCAAACTCAGTAACTGCAACTTGCAGCACTGGTAATGCTTTATCAACAACAATGTTCTCAATTCCCATTATTAGTTTATTCAATTTATTTTTTACCATTTAAGTACTGAAACTTTTTTGACGTTCTTATCGGAGTAGATATTGTTTGATTTTTGATCGAATTGAAGACGTTGATACCGTATCAATCGAAAGGATAAGGAATCGTTGATTGTTCGACTAGTTTTTTTTATACCGAGTCATTACCATTCTATCAGTGTTATCAATGAAGATTTTTTAACAATAAATTTTACGATTGATACGACGATCGTCCTTCGAATCCATCAGCATTGAGATGAGCGTTGTTGTTGCGTTACGTGGACAAAGGTTAGATCGATTGTATAGTAGAGCAACAAAAGCATCTGTTCTGTTTGGTCAAATAATCTTGCGAGAGTGCCAATAAGCCAGATTTACGTATCCAAGGTGGACACTACTGAAGCACACCAAATATAAATTTTAAATGCGGTTTGTTTTACAACAATTACAATTTCAGACAAAAACTTTGCAAGTATGGATAATCAAAATTCGAACATGGGTTACGCCCAGACTTCAACATTTTCGCTGCCATATTGTATACGGAGATGGAATGAATGTACGCTTTTGCCCAGGGATACAATCAAAACCACACGTACCTACCAATGGAACTTGAGCGTTACCATGTACTAGAACCGGAATATACCAATGACTCTGCGCATAAAGACTTAAATCAAGCTCTTCTATACATCCATACTATGTTCCATCCCGAATACTATCAGCACTTGCACTCATCATTTTACCATTGAGTATGTAACAGTGACCATATTTTTTTGTGATGACCGGAAGGAAATCTGCGACTGTACATGGAACATCGATTCAAACGCAATGTGCTAGTATTGCATAGAGCGAAGGCAGAGAAACGTTGTGAAATAAGTCATAAGCGATGCAAAAGCTATCGAAGCAAGCTGTCATTAAGAACAACACACGGTAATCCATGCGTTGTTGTATAGACACTGAATTCATGACATTTTGTCTTCTCAACAGTAGTATAATTTTCTGTTAAAGTATGGTGCGACATAGTAATACAACAATTTTGATTAATTTACCTTACTTTTTCTCTGTCAAGCAAATAATAGAAGTTGATCCGATTATCTATAGAAAATCTATCCCAAAAGTACGAATAAATATTCATTCAATTGGTGATTCTTGACATGTACTTTTTAGTATATGTGAATTTTTTAAAGTTATCTCGCAAATAACTACATTTGTGTCTCATATCTCTCTCGTACTGCATGGAATCTCAATGTTGATATGATAAAAGAACTCGTTGCAACGTAGAAACGTGAAAGCTATGAAAAATTTTATTACAACACTTGGCAAAACAATCCAACCTAAGACAAGACAGAATCAGTAATCAGATGATTCACCATATGGCGTATCAGAATCGTCGCCACCATCATTGGTTGGAGCGTCTTCGTCAGCCTTGTTTGCACACTTCTCTGATTCAACTTTTTCGATGAAATCTATAATTTTTCGTGTGTCTTTGCTCGGTCTCACTGGTCGAGGATTATCTGTATCAATATCTGCTTCTAACTTGTCGAATCGATGATAGAGTCGCTTTGCCCAATATAAGTATTTAAGAGGATCTTTTGGTTCAATGTCTTCGAGTATCCGTCGACCTCGTTCAAAGAAGTAATCAGCAATATCATGTGTCATTCGTTGTAGTAAATCTCTATCGAAGTCAAACATTTGAATGTATTCATAATATTCCATTGCCCAATCCACATGATTATCAATAATGCCACAGAAAATATAGACCGAATGGTATGGTTTATTAGTAATAGGATCGGTAAAGACATTGCGGTAGCTTTCAATAATTCTCGGAACGGCCTTCTGACCGAGGGAACCAGATGTGATAAAGAAGATTCGTTTGTTTTGATTTACTTCAAAGGCTTCCAAGCAAGAATTTTCGTCGACAAATGCTTGTAAAAGGAATTGTACACCTCCGAATAGCACGGTAACAGGTTCTTTAGAATCAAGTAATTCGTCGTAATCTTTATCGTTGAGCATAGTGAAAGTTTCATGACGCGGATCAGTGTTACTACCAAACGCCTTTTTCAAATGTGTATATTCTGTGGGAAGGCCAATACCTTGGTCAAGCCAAAATATAATGTGATTGGGTTCTTCATCATCATGACTCAAGGGTAAGTCTAGAACAGGCGTTGCCATTTGTATGTAAACAAAGACTACGAATAAAGATGCTTCATGAAAGACAGAAATCTATACAATCTTTTAATTGAAATTGAAAAGGAAAATACCTAATATCTCAACCAGAGGATTCTATTGGTCTGGTATTTACATCACTGTAAGATGTAGATAATAGATGGCGCACTTTCATTAGGAATGAAGCAAAAAATATGTCATGCAATCTGTTTTATTTTTCTCGTGATATACTTTCACTTTGATCCAGATGAAACTAGATAAACAAGATTCCAAATAGATATCAGAGTGAACAATATTCCACTCATCGCGCCAATTGCCTTCCAGTTGATTGATTGCATTTCGGATTGATCCAAGCGGGAATAATCGAAATGCCACCCTATCCAAGGATTCGCATAGAGTTCATTTTGTGGATAAATGCATGGCGAACGTAATCCTCTCTTGTAAAACAATCGTCGACGTATGATTGCCATTAGTCGTAATGCTAACATTCCTAATGGAAAACAAAAGTACACAAACCACTGCCAGATTGGCCATGGATCGCCGTATGGATGATGTCCATGCGTTTGCGCTACGAACAACCAATAGTTAATGAAGTAAATAAAGCAGAAGATGAAAACAAGAATCGGTGTGGTTTTTATGTCACGTTTTGTATCATGAGGGACAAATAAAAATTCAGCTAGGCCGTACCAGAATGGCATTAAATGAATAAAGAATAATGGATCTGTATACTTTGGACAGTGGTGATGATTACTGATGCAGTTAAAGAAGAATAATAAATGAAAGAAAAATCCCATGCCTACACTAGTTGAAAACATTAAACAATAGAATCGATCGAGATGAATTCGAAATTGTTTGATTATCGCATCGTTCAGGCCGCGCAGAATAAGAAGTATATCATAGAGGAGAGCTGCAATGATGTATATGGATAGTACAGATAGAATCCACGTTGTCACATAACGAAAACGCCATCCGGGCCCGTTGACTTCACCTGTACTGATCGAATTCGTCGATGATTGAAATGAAGTACTAAAGCCAACTACCTGGTATAGAAACAAACTCGTATGATAGGTTAGATGAAGTAAATGAAGCCATATAGGGTATGTCCGATGCAGTTTAATCATTCTTTATGATGATTCTCTAAGTGTCTGAATATTCAGCGCATGGCAAGATCATCTTTTTGTCTTCTCACTAAAATCTATTCCTCGCACGTGTTTGCTTAAGATAAATAACATTATAAAATCTTTTATCAGTTTTGTTTTACATGACTAAATGAAATTGAGATGACTAGTTTAAGTCGCATATGAAAGGTTACTGCAAGTGTTTATTGAATGAGTTATTCTCAGAAATAAAACATCGACCTATATTATTTAGCAATAACAAAAGCGTTGTTAATCATGCGAACAGTGTCGATCATTTGCTTGACAGCAGCCATTTGTGGGGCACCTTTAGTAGCATAATATACGGAACTATATCCCCACCAATCCCAACAACCCATTGGATTTGTGGGAAGAGCAAGTGAGCGGGCAACTTGAGGAAAAATAACAATGATGTTGTTGAGTTCAGCTACTTCGAGATAACCTGCTTTGACAGCAAAGACATCATCGACGTAGTATTTTCCTATATGAAAAGAAAAAAGAAAAAAGACAGTGAAAGGATTCACTGGAAGTTCGAAAAATAGAAACCTTGTTGACATCCGTGTAAAGCAACATGAATTGGACATTTTTCACCATTGGTGCAAGCAGATGGAAAATAAACGAAACCTTGTTCGTCGAGACTAGCCGATAAGCTTCGTGCTTGCGTTTTCTCTTTCAATGGAATGGTTACATCCGGCATGGCTTGATTGAAGAAACCTTTGACCGATCGCTCCCAACTAGTTGGATAGTGGATAGCCATGCTTTTGCCAAGCCATTGTGTTATCGCTGAACTAGCGTTTTCTCCTGTTGATAAAAACGATGGGGAATTGATNGGCAGTGTTCACTTGCAAGTGAGCATCACACTTGAAGAGAGTGATCATGAGAATGATTGATTTGTGATGTGATAGTGGATGATGTGATCAACTGGCAGTGTTCACTTGCAAGTGAGCATCACACTTGAAGAGAGTGATCATGAGAATGATTGATTTGTGATGTGATAGTGGATGATGTGATCAACTGGCAGTGTTCACTTGCAAGTGAGCATCACACTTGAAGAGAGTGATCATGAGAATGATTGATTTGTGATGTGATAGTGGATGATGTGATCAACTGGCAGTGTTCACTTGCAAGTGAGCATCACACTTGAAGAGAGTGATCATGAGAATGATTGATTTGTGATGTGATGGTGGATGATGTGGTCAAGTGCCAGTGTTCACTTCCAGGTGAGCATCACACTTGAACAGAGTGATATTCAGAATGATTGATTTATCATGTGATGGTGAATGATGTGGTCAACTGGCAGTGTTCACTTCCAGGTGAGCATCACACTTGAAAAGAGTGATCCTCGCAATGATTGATTTATGATGTGATGGTGAATGATGTGGTCAACTGGCAGTGTTCACTTCCAGGTGAGCATCACACTTGAACAGAGTGATATTCAGAATGATTGATTTGTGATGCGATGGTGGCTGATGTGATCAACTGGCAGTGTCCACTTGCAAGTGACCGTCACACTTGAACAGAGTGATCCTCACAATGATTGATTTGTGATGTGATGGTGGATGATGTGGTCAACTGGCAGTGTACACTTGGAAGAGAGCATCACACTTGAACAGAGTGACGATGAGAATGACTGATTTGTGATGTGATGGTGGATGATGTGATCAACTGGCAGTGTTCACTTGCAAGTGAGCATCACACTTGAACAGAGCGATGGTGAGAATGATTGATTTGTGATGTGATGGTGAATGATGTGAGCTAGTTGCTGAACGCACTGGCTGATGATTGTATTTATGCATAGAGCATTAAATGTGAAAAATGTGGTCGTATCATCTACCCATGTTCCATGTGATAGTGGATGATGTGATCAACTGGCAGTGTTCACTTGCAAGTGAGCATCACACTTGAACAGAGTGATGATGAGAATGATTGATTTGTGATGTGATGGTGGATGATGTGATCAACTGGCAGTGTTCACTTGCAAGTGAGCATCACACTTGAACAGAGTGATCTTCAGAATGATTGATTTGTGATGTGATGGTGGATGATGTGATCAACTGGCAGTGTTCACTTGCAAGTGAGCATCACACTTGAACAGAGTGATGATGAGAATGATTGATTTGTGATGTGATGGTGGATGATGTGATCAACTGGCAGTGTTCACTTGCAAGTGAGCATCACACTTGAACATAGGGATTATGAGGGAAATTCGTGCGTGATGTTTTGCTCAGTTTTATTAACATTGTTTGACTTTTCCTCAGGCGAAGCAAGGTTCTCGATGTGAGGGATCAATGTAGAAGATGTGATCATAGATAGTATTCAAAAACTACGCAGAGTTTTGGATCAACATTGCGTCGATGATATCATTGGAAGTATCTAGTTTTTTTAATTGGGGGATATTTATTGCTATGACTGTTGCTTTACGTGATGTTTACTTATCAGACGATGTGTATCACAGTCATTACTTGCATCACGGTATCTGTTGTTCACGAGCATGCTTGAATGGGTAGCTATATGAAGTTGATTTTTTACAGAACTAAAATAAACTAAATTGAGTACTTTTTGTAGTGATACATATGCCTGAAAGAAGAGAATATGCATCGATGAGTTATGTTAGGTCACAAGGAAGCAAAATAGGAAGACTGACGTTTAACGTCCTTCTTTAATATTCCTGGTGTCCTAGGAAAAGGCGAATAGTTGAATGCCGAACAGGTTAATAGTGTGCTTTTGAATTTTTTCAAACTACGAAAGTCGCAGTTTGTAGATCGTGCATGTTTTTGAGTATACATTTTATGAGATCTGAAGAAGGACCAAAACAATTTCGAAAGTTTTTTCAAGATGTGATCATATAGCATTGAATCATGAGTGTGTTACTTTGATCACAAGGTGATCACTTATTACTTGCACAGCATATTCTCTGTTCTTCAAATGCGAACGTATTCTGATTATAAAAGCAATTAAACAAAAGTTTCACACAACAGGATCATGGGAAATGACGAAGTAATATTATTTACTTTCATTACCTTTCACTAAGATCAAATCTGAATGCACTGGAGAGTTAGTTAAACTTTGCACGCCATCTGAACAGCGAGGATATTTGTTTATTCGACACCGACATGATTAAGTCAAAATAAACGTGAGAGTATTCTAGACGCAAATTTATGATCCACATATTGGTTGTGATCATTAGTCAAATGGTTTCTTTTTTGGAAATTCCGAAGAGAAGATAAGCTATTTCCACTATAGACCTGCGGGAATACTTGTTCGACAACGGTCGACCTGTGAGTAGATGTCGCGATTGACCTATACACTCTATCAGCAATTTACGATGAACTATTATGATGTCGAAATTGAAACAAAATTCTGCTCGTTAAAAGTCGATGTTAACATGTTTTTCATTCGCTTTATTTTCTGGCAAGAGCAACAAAGGCGACCATGTGACATTGATTTCATAACCACATCAGAAGAAAAATTCGATTCTTGCAACAGTAACAATGAGAATTCTTATCATCAGTTGTGTGACAGTAAGTCATTTGTTTTTATGTTGGTATATTTACGCATTCTTCCAGCGAGGAAGAACAGAACAAAACTTAAATTTTTCTTTTAGACTTTGTGAAAAAATACAAGCAGCGTACTAAATAATGGCAACTAATAATTCAAATCTCGGTATGGCTGAAAGAAAAAAAACGATGAACACGAACTGTATTATTCTACAATTTGATTAGATCTTGTCTTTGCGATGGATTGCACTGGTTCAATGGGTTCGTATATCAAAAGTGCAACAGACAACATTCGTATGATTATTGATGAAATTATTGCCAAAGAGAAAGTCACTATACGACTTGCTCTCGTCGAGTATCGTGATCATCCTCCTCAAGTCTGTATGAAATAATGACGATTATACATTCAATACGTTATATATCTTTCAGGACAGTACATTTGTAACTCGTGTTCATAGTTTTACAAATACAGTGACAGAAATGAAAGGATGGCTGGAACAATGCTCTGCTCAAGGTGGTGGTGATGGACCAGAGGCTGTGGCTGACGCGCTTCATGAGGCTTTCAGTCTTCCGTGGCGTTCCGATGCGGCTAAAATCTGCATTCTCATATCTGACGCACCACCTCATGGTCTTGTCGCAGCCGGAGATGGTTTTCCCAGTGGATGTCCAGCTGGTCACGATTCACTCAACATTGCACGGAAAATGGTCGAAAAAAACATCACTCTCTACACTGTCGGTGTCGAACCACCTATCGGTAATTTATTTTATCGTATGAAAACTATTCCAATCGGTATCTTTTCCATTGTAGTACCTTATCGTGAGTTTTTCATGGCTATTGCACACATCACAGGTGGACAATATGTTCCAATGGCAGATGCAAATAAACTAGCACAAATGATCATTGGCGGCGTACGCGAAGAAATATCGCTTGATCGAGTTATGAATAGTTCTAAGCGAGACATTGCTCGGGAGGTGCATAAGGCAGCTAGAGATGGAGTTGACGACAATGAAGCAGCCAAACGATTACAGAAGATCTTTTCCGAAAAGAACGTCGTTGTTAATCGCATGAGAAATGAAGCTGGAACACCGTCAAAAGCAGCCGAAGAATGCTACGCGAAATGTACAGATATGTCCGACATTCAACAACAATACCAACAATTGATACCCACCGTTTCTCATACTAAAGCAGCTGAAATGGATTATAAATTAGAAGAGAATAAACCAGTCAGCTTCGAACAAGCGAAACGCATTGTTCAAAAAGCAAAGAATTGGGATTACTCATCAATTGATTTAAGTGATGATAAGACTTCAATTGGTAGCTCTACCGGTGGAACACCATGCAAGCATGGGGCGCGTTGTCATGATCGAAGCGACTATCATCGAGCAAGATTTTTGCATCCGGAAAGTAGTACTACTACTCGAAACAGTGGTCAACATCATCGAGCGAAATATTCTCATGCGGACATAAATGATCATCGGATCCCGTGCAAACATGGCTCAAGTTGTTACGATAAGAGTGATTACCACCGACACAAATATTCGCATCCGAGTTCATGATTTCCTTGACGAATTTTCGTTTCACAAACGGCTCAAGCATACTCAAGAAAATATTGTTTTTTTCCTTTCTTCTGTAGTCTATTGATATTGACTTACGTTCCCTGTGACGCAATAACATGGGCTTTTTTCCTTTCGATACATGAGTCACGGTAAATAGCAAAAAGAAAAATATAAGCTGCGCCGCATTTCACCACCAAAAGTTTCTTGTTGTCATTCGAATCAGAAACACGCAGAGAGAAGCGCAACATGAATCAACTGAAATTCGATTCATATAACTTCGTACAAGTGGGCAAAATTATAGCTCATACAGATAAATTTTTAGTGGAAAATGAGATCATTTTCATCATGATTAGTAGTACTGGACAGCAACAATCGTTCGTGTCACCTATATCAGGCGTAGTTACTAAAATATACGTTCACGAAAAAGATATACTTTCATATGGATCGCTGATCCTTGAATATCAAGAATGTTCGCATGCAGTTATCTACAAAGATTTATGTGCTGTTTGTGGTAAAAAAGTCGACAAAACATTGGAACCATCCAACTCGATGCAGAAAGTTATGGCAATAGAGCCGGCATCCCGTTGTGTAAAAACTACTAGAGAAAGAGCGATAAAATACGATAGTAACGAACGTAATTTACTACTTCGTAGACGTAAACTTCATTTGTTGATTGATCTGGATCAAACACTTGTTCACACTAGCAATTCTCCCAATCATTGTCCATCATCAGATGACATTATTTCAATCTATTTGGATCATCCAGTAGCACAGACACTTTATACAAAACTACGTCCTGGTGTCAAAGAATTCCTTACCAATCTGCAGTCTTACTATGTCTTTCATATCGTTACATTTGGTGACCGACCATATGCCGATGCGATAGTCAAATTAATCGATCCCAAGGGAACGTTTTTCTCTCATCGAATCTTATCACGTGATGACTCTATCAGTTCGACCGATAAATCCGCTAATTTAAGTACACTCTTTCCTTGTGGTGATTCACTAGTTTGTATCATAGATGATCGAGAAGATGTATGGAAGTATGCATCGAATGTAGTCCGAGTCAAACCGTATGCGTGGTTTCATGATGTTGGCGATATTAATAGTATTTATTTACCAACGTTCGCCGAAGTCAAGAGCATTCCATTTCAATATGGCGTAGTCAATGATGATGATCAATATTTATATCAATTAGAAATGATTTTAAAACATATTCATGCAAAATTCTATCAGATTTATGATGCTCAATGCGCTCAAAACAGACTTCATTCGATTCCAGATCTTAAACAAATCATGCCAATTCTTCGTCAACAAATACTCAAGTCTGTTTCTCTTTGTTTTTCTTATTTGCTACCACAGGATTATCCATTGGAAAGCTTTCGTGGAACATTCATTGCCCGAGCGATGGGTGCACAAGTCACTGAAGACTTACAGCTCGATTCACACAGTCTCAATCGAACGACACATGTTATTGCTGGAAAGCATACATTGAAAGTACACCAAGCACTACAAAGTAATATTAAAGTTGTCACATTAGAATGGTTACTTGATTGTTATGAGCAATGGGAAAGAAAACCAGAAGAGAATTATATTCTTACTGGTGATTATGATGTTCAGAAATGTCGGCTATTACCAGAAATCATTCCTCGTATACTGAAACGACATCGTGACGAGGATAGCGCAGAGCAACAAACATTTACTACTGAAAATCTCTTAGTGAAAACTCGTGAATTGAATGTCGATGAGCGTCTTCTCTCATCTAAACGACCGCGTACAGTGTCAACAACGGATATTATAAGTCAACTGAATACTGATGACAATGAAGACTTTGATGACGACTCTTCAGATGATGAGTATCTTGGTGATGATGAAGTACCTCGTCGTTGGAAAGAAGACGAAAGACGAAGACAATGACCTTTATGTATTTTTTCGTAAAATTTTCTCGCATAAAAATGATTCTTTCACAAAATAAATACTTTTGTAATAAAAAGTTGTCTCTGATTATCAGTCTATCAAATATTGTCCAATAGCTGCAGCAGTACCTACACATGTGTCTCCCATAATGTATCTTGCTAAAGCGGATGATACATAGTTCGTATGAGCACCACCGGACGCTTGCATACAACCGCGAATCGTTTTGTTACTACGAACTGGAAGGGAAGATACTAAACTCCATTTTGGGCTCATGTCACTTGCCGCTGTAGCAACTGTACCTGATTCAGGCGTATTATGAATAAGATATTTACCATGGCCTTCTACATTGACCATGACACCCCAGTGACCAACGAGATTAGGTCCACTTTGTTTCGGACGTTTGTATATAGCTGCTTCGGTGATCGTGGCATAATTGTACGATGTCATTTTTAATATAACATTTATTTTAGCTATCTGTACACAGAGACCAAAGCATGTTCGATTTTGTATGAAAAGTTGATATCTGAAAAGAGAAAAGATATAAAATATAAAAGGTAGAAAAAAGTCACAATTTACATTAGTCAACGATGAACACAAATGAAGTTCAAAACTATCAATCTTCACAGCCCGTTCGGTAAGTATCTTATCCTTCATCTTTTATTCGTAATCAAAAATAATCTTCAGTTGTAATTTAGAGTTCGAACCAATAGCAAGAAAAATTATGTATTGATTCTTTTTGGTGTAGTTCTCTTAGCTATTGCCATTATCATCATTGTTGTTACTGTGAAGAAAGCAAAATCGGATACTGAATCAGCAAATACGATAATTATCAATCAGATTGTGGAAACGACAACAAGAGGTACGCAGATCGTCTCGTTTTGATTACTTATTTATAAAAAAAAACAGGCTATCTTTTCTTAGAAACTTCAATGAGCAATACAACAACAACAGCAATGAATAAGTCTCCTAAAACTATGAAGCATGCACGATACTCGCATACAGCATCGAATTTGAACAATGGGAGAATATTAGTTTCTGGTGGTCTATTCAACGATAGTGCTTATTTGGACAGTGCTGAAATCTACAATCCAGCAACAGGAGTTTGGAATGAGACTGGTCATATGACATACGATCGGGACTATCATACAGTATCTGTTCTACCAAATGGGAACGTTATTGTTGTCGGTAGCAAACTAGAGCACAGAAACTATACACAATTGAAATTTATGACGTTGCCTCTGAGACGTGGATAAACAGTACAAGCCGAATTCTCGATGAAGGATATTATACAACAGTTGTATTAAAAAATGGAATTGTATTAGTTATCGGTGGTGGAAACAGTATCATGTCATACGATTATTCATCAGAAAATTGGACAATTAACAGTAACACGAGAAAGCAACGAATGAACAGTGCAGTTACACTGTTGCAAGATGAGAAAGTATGATTTACTGGTGGAATGAAAGGCAATACGATCCGTCAACAAATACTTGGACACGTATTGCTGATTTGAATATTGCACGAGCACAACATTCGGCAGTTCTATTAAGCAATAGCAATGTATTAATTATTGGTGGGGTTTCTGATAATGAGCCAGTGGCAAATTTTGAATTATTAAACGTATCAGCGAAAGAATGGACTCTTAGTATAGTAATATGACATGCCTTCGACAACATTACACAGTTTCTCCATTATCGCATGGACAAGTAATTGTCGTCGGTGGAACGGCCGACCGTAAAGCGTCTAACAGTACTGAATTATATTAACAGAAGGCTTCTTCGATAAACAATAAGCTTTCCTCTGAGGCACTGTCGCTCGTGCGTTTGGATTCGCTTTTTTCCATCGTTACTGATGATCAACAAAACTGTTTTCCCTTGCATTTTGCGTCTGTCATTACTTCATCAATAAACAACGAGTTTTTCAAATCTTTTATTAGATTAAATACGATAGAGTCTGAAAACCATAGTTTAACATTATCGAAGAACAACAATATCATTTGAGCTCCAATTTACAGTTATCATATCGAGTTTATTGTCACCATCGATATCATTCACTCGCAAAAGAAATGGATAAGTTCCGGTGGTATAAGTCGTTTGTAAGAAAAAGCCTTCAGTACCCCTATTAAGGAGAATACTCATATTGTTATCATAATAATTTGCAACGATAATATCCAATTTATTGTCACTGTTCAGATCCGGTCGAATAAGTCGCTTGTGCCTAGAAACTACCATTTCCTATATTGAGTAAAACGCCAACATTGTTCGAATCTTGAATGGCAACAATAATATCAACTTTCGAGTCATTATTCACATCTTTGATGGCCAATGCATGAGGTGTAGAACGCGACTGCATAAATGGCTTGATCTAGTAGTGCGTCATCATTATCGTCAGTATTGAAAAGAATACAAATGCTTGCTAGATCTTTGTTTGCAATGATAACATCAGGTTTTTGGTCATTATTTAAATAAGCTATTTTTTACCGAATAGGAACCAGAACCCGTAGCGTAGACAGATTGATTTGCAAGTGTACTATTGTCAACATTACGTAAAATTGCCACATTATCCGAGTCAATGTTTTTCACAGCACCAACCGATGAACAAGTCGTATCGTTACATTGATATTTCATTCCGACCAGTTTCGATAAACGTAATGAACAGAGATCCTGCGAACTCACTAGTACTACTAGTACGAATAGATAGAGCAAAATTTGTAGTGTCATAGTTGAAAAAACTTTTACAAAGTACTATCTCCTGTTTTTAAACTTTTTCATATAAATAGAGACATCTTAAACATCTGCTATTAAGTTTAAAATAGATCCATTATCGTTTTCTGGTTATGAAGTCCGAGATGCATCGCACTTCTTCGGAATAATCAAAAAGCGAATAGGATGATTATTTGTGTTTTTCTGTGAACACTTATTTCGTTGCATGTGTAAACTCTTTGCCATAGAAAAAAACTAAAAGAATATCACTTCAAAGAAACTCCTGAGATGAGCACGAGGAATGAATGACGCGCGTGATATTTCAAATTGTTCACAGCATATCATAGAGTGCAGTCGTATAATGTATGCATAGATGAAAATACTTGTGAATCTGTTGTTGCTTACACAAAATAGTTATTAACTTTTTTTATTATAAACACGTGTGAGTATCAAGGTTGTTCTATTGCATAAATCCGAGTACATCTTGATTGTGATAAAGATGAGAAATAGATGAATAATCGGTTGATTCAATGGAAAGGAAGAGAATAGATGTTAAAATTAGAAGTTGAATAACAAACATATAGGTAGGTAGGGAGAAAAAGACAAAGAAATATACGTCAATAAAATATTGTTTTGCGTTATAGTTGAATGAATTGGTTGATGTTTTGTGTTTCTCGCCAGTGACGTACGAAAGAAAGAGAGTAAGAAAAGGTTTTCGTATATAAACAAAGTTTTCACCAGCAGATTTTCATTCATTGATCAAAACAAATTTATCATTCGTTTTTACTAATCTAATAATATATACAAAATGTACGGTGGATTCGGTGGATACGGCGGATATGGCGGTGGAAGTTCAGAAATGAGATCTGATATGTGGATTCAACAAAACGTTCCCGGTGGATTAAACAGTATGCATGACAAACGATCTTCTTCATGCTATAGATGACTTTTTTAAATTTATAGGTGCTCTCGGTGAACGATTGGATAATTTCATGGGTGGAAATTCTAATCCAACATATGGTCAAATTTATGGTGGCGCACCAGGTGTTGGCGGATATGGTGGTGGCTATGGTTATTCATATGGTGGATGGTAAAAGCATCCGCATTGACCACAGACAAATCTGTTTATAATCATATGTTTCTTTCTTAAATAAATACGGAAAATATGCTATAATCTCATGCGTAAGATTTTAATCATGTACAGACTAAACTGAAAATAATAGATAAAATGCGCGTATTGACATTTTTTTTCACCTCTATTTTCGTTTTTACCCGATAAAAAACGCAGGATTACGTATTTTTGTTTATATCATATAGCTAAACAAAAAAAATCAGGTGCCCAAAACGAGTAAAACGATAATGATCAAGCAATAAAAATATATGTACAGTGCATAAAACATGATGCTATGGCACGTTTTGATGTATCAAAATCGATCAGTTTAACTAATTCATCGGTAGCCAAGGTTCTCAACATAACTGAAATCTTATTGAATATGTACAGCAGCTCCTATCGTCACTAAGCAGCATTGCGTTGTGTGTTGATCAAGTGTATTTTGTCGTTCTTCTGAGAGTAGAGAGGTGATGATTGAGTAAAAAGAAAAAGAATTCTTTACACATGGTGCATAGAAACTTTTCTTGTCAGAATTCATTTTTCATTCAAGAAGAAAATGGATGAGAATAATTCGAACATGAAAGATAAATATGGTGATTGGGATGCTAATGCTCCGAATCCAGTCAATCCTGATCCTAAATATACGGGTGATTATCCTCCACCGAAATTGACAACATCAAAAGTTCCCGATGCGGATCCATCAGGTGAACCCAATACAGACTCATCAGTGATCGTTCATCCACCACGACCACCAGGGCAAAAGCTAGGACCATTTCTTCAATTTCTCACCACTGACCTAAAGAATATGATATGGAAAGGAAGCATGTTAATCTTTCGACATATTTCATCGGATAAACGACCAATAGTCGAATTTCAGTCGGATGTGAAAATCGATTTCAATTGGGAAGTTCTATACGAGAACTTATTCAATTTACGTGCATACCGTGTTAATCTTTTCATTGGACTACGTTCCGGTGAAGGTAATGAAAGGATTCAGTGGACGATTCAGTGGGGTGATGAGAACGAGAAAAGTAATGGTCACTTCTATGTTCCTCGTCTTGAGCAAAAGTGGCGAGGAGGTTTCTTTTCTTGCAATGGTTTCGATGCATATGTTCCCAAAGAAGTAGCTATGGATTTAACTTGTTCGAATGTTTGGAATCATCTTCTTTCAGTTCACGACGAGAAACCGTTACATTTATTATTCTGGGGTGGTGATCAGATTTACATTGACTTCATTTTCGAAGACGTACCATTTCTTCGTGCATGGGTCAATATGGAATGGAATGCCAAATGGACGACAGATTTTCGTGATGATTTAAAAGAGCAGGTTGAAGAATACTATTTTAATACTTACGTTGAAAATTGGAATTGTCGTCTGGAAATTAGAAAGGCATTACAATCGATTCCGAGCTTAATGATGTGGGATGATCATGATATATTCGATGGTGCCGGATCATATCCACCTCTACTGCATGATAGTCCCATGATGATGGGATTGTTTAGTGCAGCACAGAAGATGCGGCTTCTCTTTCAACATCATACGACATTGAATCGAGCACGAGAACATTATCTGTTTGGACACGAAGGTTTCAATTTGTTCGCACGATGTGGTCGACATCTGGCGATTATGGGTATGGATGAGAGGACTGAACGTAATACGGAAGCTGTACATCATGAAAAATCCTGGCAAATGATCTTCGACCGGCTTGAAAATGAGCTCGATGATATCGAACATTTAATTATCGTGTTTCCTGTTCCGTTTTCGTTTGTTCGCGTTCGTGTTGCTGAATCAGTTTTTGAAAAGATGAAGAATCTCCCAAATAAATGGCGAAAGCTTCCACCTGTCAAAAAAACCAATTCTATTTTTGGTCTGCCTGAACTCTATGATGATCTTCTCGACGAATGGACACATGAAGCACATATCGATGAGCGAAATCGTGCTCTCGTTCGTTTCCAGCAGCTGGCTGAGAAGAAAAGAGTACGAATAACTTTTTTCAGTGGCGATGTTCACTGTTGTGGAATTAGTCGATTTCAGACTCGTGGAAATCATCGACCATTGCCGATCGATGATGCGAAATTAATGTATCAGATCATTTCATCAGCTATTGTAAATATGCCACCGTCAAAAACGGCTATTCAAGTTGCGCATCGATTTCGTACTGACTGGATACCAGTGGATGATACAGAGGAAGAAGTAATCGATTTTTTCAATCGGAAACCGGAGAATGGTGCCAAAGCTTTCCATAAAAAATTTCGTCCGAATAGAAACTGGTGTTGCTTTGAAGAGAGATCCAATACGTTCACATCTTCTGTAGCTGTGGCACAAACACATTGCTTTTCATGTCGTAAAAGCCATGTCACACCGATAAGTGCCGGTCAGCGATATGAAGGTGAACAACTGTCAGAGCAACAAACTCTAACAAATGATTTAGGAATTCGATTATGGCTAGAAAGTAGTCGCGAAGAGGATCACGGACGAAAATTTGTTGGCTATGATCTTCGTATTCCTAATCTTAAATAGAGTTTCTTTGTGTTGATGATTGTAAATATGTGTGTCCGAAGTACTCAAAAGATAGTTACGTAATTCTCCATTGGAAAGGTTTTGCTATTGATGTGAACATTTTGAATCGATCTAGATTGAGGACATTTCTACTTATAAGATAATCTTTTTCTCGAGATCCTGATCCAAAGAGACATCGATTTTTTCCATAAAGTCGCTGTATTCATGTCTACAATAAAATAATAATTCGCGGCGGCAACATCGTTCTACATCAATCAATTCGCACTCACACACACACATGCAGAAAGCCATTGAAAAGGTATTGTAAGCTTTTTCGAAGAACATCATCCGCAGTAACTTTGCCTTGAATTCGAATAATTTTACCACCTGTCGTCTAACAAATAGTGGCATCATTAAATCCTTTGAACATTTCAATCCAATTGTCAGCTGTGACCTTTGGCCATTCGCATTTTATACAGAATGCTTGTACATCATCTTCTGACATCACAGTTGCTGGTACTGACTTTCCTAAGATATCGCTAAGTATCTTAGCAATTTCATTCGGACTATAAGACTCAGGTGCTTCTACTTCGACGATGACCAATGGATCAACCTCATTTGCAACTCGACCGATATCGTTCGTAGCAGTATGTGGCATTTTCTTATCTAGCTTTTGAAATGTTGAGCTAAGAACTGGCGAGCAGCCTACTTTAACTGCTGACGCAGCGCCTAACCAATTTTGTTACGGATCCTCGAAACGATGATCGACAATGGTGTTTGATCAAATATCGCCATCAAGCTTATCTATTCTACTATTCTACTTATCATCTATGCTCGTGTTAAACAAAGTTGAGCGAATAAACATCATCTCTTTAGTCCATTCATTATGATTGCATTCAAATTACCATTTTTTACTGATCAACAACAGTTATTCATAGCTATTATTACTTATTTAACTTCATATATTTCATTAGCCATGACTTTCTTCGTTTATGTTTGGCCTCCATCGGCATACTACGAAGTTTTTGTGAAGAAGTGTATAAAAAAGTTAACTTAAGTGGAAAACTCGCTTCTGGAACACATACATCTTTTATTTAACATCTATATATCTAAATCAGTTTAAAAAAAGTCGTTTGTGTTAAATTCGATTTTTTTCGAAGACGGTCTTCATCTGTTCTAAAACATATTCCACATTTTCTTTGGTAATCATATAATGTGTCAGCAATCGACATTTCCACTTTCCGCTAACACCTATCAATATTCCATGCTCTACTTCTAAGCTTTGAGCCACCGCAGATGCATCAATTTGAATCTTTTGAGAATCAATTTCGAAAAAGACAATATTTGTTTGCACATCTTTCTCAGGATCGATTTTGCAGCCAGGTAGTTTTGCTAATCCTTGAGCAAGTAATTTCGCATGCTGATGATCTAATTTTAATAATTTCGGCATTTGTGTTAATGCAACAATACCAGCAGCCGCTACAATACCGACTTGTCTCAATCCTCCACCCAATACTTTCCGTAATCGTCTTGCTTCTCGAATAAATTCTTCCGTACCGGCAATAAGAGAGCCCATCGGTGCTGCTAAGCCTTTCGATAAACATAACGAAACTGAATCACAGCATTCGACTAATACCGCTGGATCAACATCTAATTCAACTGCAGCATTCATCAATCTTGCTCCGTCCATATGTAATTTAATTCCATATTGTTGACATAACTGCCCGACGCTTTGGATGTATTCAACTGTTAATACTTTTCCTCCCATACGATTATGCGTGTTTTCTAAACAAACCAGTTTCGTGCGAGGAAAATGAGCATCATCTTTTACAGTTCGAATTCGTTGCTCAATATCTTGAATCCGAAGTGTTCCGTCTTGTTGTGTCGGAACCGTTCTTAGATGGACTCTGCCCAATGTAGAACATCCACCTTGTTCAAACAGATGTATATGGCTTTCATCGCCTAGGATCATTTCCGAGCCAAATTGTGAGCAATGGTTAAGAACACAAATAAGATTGGCCATAGTTCCCGATGGAACGAATAGTGCTGCTTGTTTGCCTAATAACTTCGCTGCCATATCTTGTAGTTTTAAAACTGTTGGATCATCACCGTAGACATCATCACCAACTTCTGCTTCAAACATCGCTTGACGCATTTCTGCTGTCGGTTTTGTTACTGTATCTGAACGAAGATCAATAAATGACGTTGAAGACATTTTTTTTACTCTTGTTGAATATATGGTGATGATGATATAACACAATATCTGACATACGAAAAAGAAGGGTAAGATTTTATATGATGTCTTTTCTGCTTGTCATGTTTGATAACGATAAATACACAAAATAATCAGTGGTTACTTGAATATTTGATCTTTTAACATGATATTGAGTCAAATATTTTGAAAAGCGAAACTTTAACCAACACGTATTGACTTCGATCGATAAAAGATTCCGATGATATTTTTCACTGTATTCTGCTGTTATTTCTATGGGTATTTTTTGTAATATTGAATAAATCCTTGCGTCATATAACCACAGTAAAAAAAAACAGAATGATTATATTTGAAATATTTACTAAATATGTTTATGTCTCGAGATTTGTAAGAAAGCGCTGTTTTGTCTGAATAAGAAAAGTTTGACAAAAAAAAAAGAAGTAACGTTGGTTTCATCTTCGTGAAATGTTCTGTCAAGCTATTTGTAGTCGTTCGACATCATCTAAATAACAACCAAAAGAAGAAGGCCACTACGACATAATAGAATGCTTGTTTGTCTTATAAAAGTACAGGTATTAGATATCGTTCATAGTAATGTTTAGATCGATGGAATAAGTATGATTGGACCTACGAACTGATCACTATTTATTGTTAAGATACTTACTGTTGCGGATAAAGCTGTTCAGCTCGATCCAGCATTTCTTGGTAGAAAGTTTTTAGCTTCAGTTTTTGTTCGTCGTGTTGTAGTTGATGCGCCTTATTCGAAGTGATGTACTTTTTGTTTGATATGTAAACGTTCTATCACTCTAGGCACAAAATCGTTTTCGTTTGTGTATAAAACTACGGATATCGGTGTTGAGCTTCGAACTATCTATTTGGAACAGATATCTATTATCAGTTCCTCGTGTTCCATTGTTTGCTTTTACTGTTATGGTAGGTATCGACTGTGTTGCGGATACGTCAGACGCTTCTAACAAGCAAAATCTTGTTAGTATAAAACAATTTAACACACTTTTCACATGAGTTATCAGCAAACGAGAACAAATTGGTCTGTGCTCCGTTAATTGCTATCATGCGACTATTATTGCTGCGATCATCATTCATTAAGTGTATGAAGAGAGACTATAGAATTCTAAACCTAATTTATCACTTTTTATCATCGTCGGAATCAGTTACGCAAGCAACGATCAGTGGTATAACGATGAAACGTCTGCTTCTCCTCCAAAATGTATCGTATTCATCGTACATGATCTCATTAAAACTCTCAGCAATAGAAGATACATGCGTTGATCTAGTTCGTTTCGATTCAACTACTCGAAATTCTCTCACACTAATTCGTACTTGCTTAACTGCAGCACGCGATCCCTATCGAACTGAAATAAATGCTTGTATGATATCTGGACTAGAAAAAAATTTTAATTACAGCGTTCGAAACAAAACTAACGATGGAAAGATTATTTATAACAATCGGCAAAACTAATGCGCTTTATTTTCGTTAACCACGCATATCTGCGAGAAATTTGCAAATCTAGGTATACCAGACTCTCGCGTTCTCAAAATATTGTAACGAAAACATAACTCTTCTACGAGTTTGAATTCTTTTTCTTTGCATTCACTTTTTTTTTTATATCTGAAGTACATTTTGATGTGCTCTTTTGTCTATTCAACTTTCCGAACAGATTTAACCTAGATCTAACCAAACGATTTGCAAACGAATCTCTGTAAACTCATTCAAAAATTGATTTTAGCGTCTCGTTTGTTAATCGTATGCAATTCCGACAAATGAAGTCTCTGATGAAAACATTGCCACACTTTTTCACGTAATTATATTTTCAAATAAAGTTAAACACAATTACCACGTACTGAAAAAAGAACTAAACTGTAAACGATAACGTATAAATCAGTAGTTCTGTTCTCTTATTATGGGGTGACCGAAAGAAATTTGAGAACAAACCTAGACTGAAATATTGAAACGTCAAACATTTTAACAAAAACAACATCCTTCCGTCGACTCGAAAATGTTCCACTATACACATTTTGACATTCCTATGCTTTGTATTTTAGGTAGTTTTCTGGTTAAAGTTTATGTTAAGCATACGGAAAGATTAGCTCTGTTCAAAAGCGAACGATTAAGTTTTGTACATGTGAATGCTCTTTTTGACGGATTTATCAGAAAAACAAAACGAGAAGGATTATGACTCATACATTAGCATTTAAATTGGTGTTTATTGAGGATAATACTTTGAAAATCGTGTCATTCTTAACAATGTCCTTTTATGTGTTAGTATTAATCACTGTTTCGAATAAATATCAATCAATAGACCTGATATTCATGTACTTTTTTTTTGTTATTCGATGACTTATTCGCTTCAAACGGATACATTTTAATTGTCAAAGAACGAAGCGTAGGAAGAAAAACATTCGAATACTATTTTCGTCAATAACCTCTCTAATTTCAATCATCTTGTAAAGCTTATACAATGAAAAGAAAAGGCTTAGTTTGCCTACTATTTGAATGCATTCCTTTTCACAGTATTGTTTCGATTCGATCAACAATAATCTAACTCAATAATATCAATTGAGAAACGAGAAGGCAATGTTTTTCATTACCTTGTTCGCGATTCTTCTATTCAATAGTGTTGCATCTCAAGGTATTTTCGATCCTTCGACGTTTACACAGGGTTCTTGTACTGGTAGTAATAAATGGACAATATGGTTCGACACAAATGACCCGAGCTCAGTACAGGGTGATTTTGAAATAACCAATCATATTAAACAACTACTTCCGACTTACATGTGTTCATCACCCAGTGCGATTGAGGTATGTGAAATGATTTCGTTTATTTTTCTTTCGTTCTTCGAGCCAATGGCCGTTTTAGGCTCAAACATCGTACGATACAAGTCCAACGACAACTGGTGATGTTTTTCGTATTTCAACTAAAGATGGTTTTTTCTGTTTAAATCAGCAAGTAAACAACTACAAGAATCGATTATGTACGGATTATAAAGTCCGCTACTGTTGTCCAAGTGCATCTATTTCACGCTGAATAATCTTGAGAATGAAAATAAAAAATCCTCCGAACTGATTTTATTCGAACCTTGTAAAAAATCTAAAATTTTTCTCGTTTTATTTTGGTCTCATCACGACTTGTTTTTAAAAACGGCATCAGTACTGTACCACCTGTGCCACGAGCTGATGACGATGTCTCATCATCGCTCTTCCGCATTTGTGCCAATATAAATACTGTCACTATTTGAATATGTTTGTTTCGAAATTCGACTAATTGATCAATACAAGCGTTGTGCGCCTGACGAAGTTCTTTTGACGTTGATTTCTGGACAAAGTCATTGAGGTAATGCGCATGCTCACCTAACATATGAAGGAACTGACGATGTTTGAATGGCATGTAAAGACGCATTTCATCGATGAAATCACGGGTTTGATCACTAACGTGTTGAACATTGAAGAAAACGTCAAAAGCTGCGATTAAGCAAGACTGAGCAGCCGATGCACCATGTAGAAACTGCCGCGTTTCACTCACACCTTCGTATACAATTCCATCTGGTAATGATGAATTTCCTTTCCAGCCGCTAAGAAAATGTCGTACTCGATGATAGAAAATGTACGGATCGACGCGATCAAACATTTTCGATAAAGTATTAAGCATCGATTTTTGAATATTTTCAATTGCTTTCAATTCATTCGTAACGTCTTGCTCGTTTTCTTTGCCGGCAAAGTATTGCGCTTTTAACATATGTTTTAGAGCTTTGCCGCCGCGATCTTCTAATTCAATGGTAACTAAATAAAAATTTGCTTCGTCTGTTCCAGATAGAAAACCATTTAACAACGCAATATTTCCTAATTCAATCGGTTTATTCACGTCAAATCGTTTCCAGTTGGATAATACCATTAACGAATGTGTCAGCATAGGTAGTCGGCAGGCTTTTCTTGTTACTTCCACCCACGGAACAGCTAGACATGCAGGTATGTACGTACTAACTGGTTGTTCACCCCAGACAAAGGCATGGCTTAACATAGCAAGAACGAGTAAAGCACGTTGTAATTCGCGTTCGTCGAGTAAATCACCTTGTTCAATGGGAATGACTTCTAACCGGGAAAGAATTGTTGAGCGAACATTTCTAGCATGTAAATATCCCGATAAATCCTTCATAATGACCTCCCAACATCCAAATTTACTTGAAAGCGGTAACTGATCCAATGGATCTGGAAAAGGTACGAAACCATGGTTGATATCAACAGAGTACGATGCTAGTAGACGTGCAATTTGGTCATCGAGTAATTCAGCAGTTTCACCATCGAATATTAAATATGCTGATGGATGTGGTAAATCTGGTCCGTAGTATGGTACTAAAGTTTGATGTAAAAGAGAAGATGCATCTTCGATATGTTCGTGAATACGCATTCGATAAATTTGAAGAACGAAAGAAAAGAAAGTATGCAAACGATGATATTCTTCAAATGCACTTTTATTCTATGGGTTAAATACGAACATGCCGATGCGTTTTTGTCATCAGAACGAAGTCCATTACGCGAGTACATAGATAAGAAGCGGCGAACGCACATGTTTTTTTAGACAATGATTTCGTATTCAAAAAATGATTTACATGAGAGTCGTTTGCATAATAATAGTCACAATTTTTTGAAAGGCTTTTCTTCGCTTCATTTCGATGTTCTTCTCTATATGAGAGTAGTGTTACTATGGTATTGGAAGACAAATCTTGACAGAAAAAGAATGTCTATAAATTAAAAGTGTAATACTGTTCGATATATATCAATTCTGGACGAATACATTGACGAGTATAATACTACTTACATTTCTCATGGGATTGTTTATTATGCCGGTGAATACTGGTCTTTGTACTTGCACCTGTGGTGGCTCTGTTTCAGGTACCTCGACAGTTTTATGCTCAAATTGTCACGTCTCATACTGTAGGAGTACGTATATGAGTGCTTGCGCAAGTGCCAATTCAGTAACTGCAACTTGCAGCACTGGTAATGCTTTATCAACAACAATGTTCTCAATTCCCATTATTAGTTTATTCAATTTATTTCTTTCCATTTAAGTACTGAAACTTTTTTGACGCTCTTATCGGAGTAGATATTGTTTGATTTTTGATCGAATTGAAGACGTTGATACCGTATCAATCGAAAGGATAAGGAATCGTTAATTGTTCGACTAGTTTTTTTTACACCGAGACATTACCATTCCATCAGTGTTATTAGTGAAGATTTTTTAACAATAAATTTTACGTTTGATACGAAGATTGTCCTTCGAATCCACCAGCGTTGAGGTGAACGTTGTTATTGCGTTACGTGGACAAAGGTTAGATCGATTGTATACTGGAGCAACAAAAGCATCTGTTCTGTTTGGTAAAATAATCTTGCGAGAGTCCCAATAAGCCGAATTTACGTATCCACGGTGGACACTACTGAAGTACACCAAATATAAATTTTAAATGCGGTTTGTTTTACAACAATTCGAATTTCAGACAAAGACTTTACAAGTATTGATAATCAAAATTCGAATAGTATCGAACATGAGTTACATCCAAACTTCAACATTTTCACTGCATATTGTATAGGGAGATGGAATGAATATACGTTTTTGCCCAGGGATATAATCAAAACCACACGTGCCTACCAATGGAACTTGAGCGTTATCATGTACTAGAATCGGAATACTTGCACTGCCTTTATAACGAATACTATCAGCACTTACACTCTTTATTTTACCATTGAGTATGTAATAGTGACCCTATTTTTTTGTGATGACTGGAAGGAAATCTGCGACTGTATATGGAACATCGATGAAAGCAAGTAGAAGAATTGTTCAAAGACAAAAGGTCCGACCTAGTGTATTTGTTCAGGAGATATGACCGTCGAATTGATTATGTTAGTAATATTTGATGGCTTGGCAAAATTTGTGAATGATCTAATGAATTTATTCAAATGCAAAGTGCCAGTATTGCATAGAGCGAAGGCAGGAAAACGTTGTGGCCACTCAGCATCGATATGTGCTTTTCAATTGTGAAATAAGTCATGAGCGATGCAAAAGCTATCGAACCAATTGACTAGTAGATGCGATTAAGCAAGCTGTCATTACGAACGACACGTAGTAATCCATGAGTTGTTGTATAGACCCTGAATTCATGGCATTTTGTCTTCTCAACAGTAGTATAATTTTCTGTTAAAGTATGATGCGACATAGTAATACAACAATTTTGATTAATTTACCTTACTTTTTCTCTGTCAAGTAAATAATCGTAGTTGATCCGATTATCTATAGAAAATCTATGCCAAAGGTACGCATAAATATCCATTCAATTAATGATTACTGACATGTATTTCTAGCGTATGTGAATTTTTTAAGTTGTCTCATATCTCTCTTGTACTCCATGGAATCTCAATGTTGATGTGATAAAAGAACTCGTTCCAACATAGAAACGTGAAAGCTATGAAAAATCTTATTGTAACACTTGGCAAAACAATCCAATCTAAGACAAGAAAGAATCAGTAATCAGATGATTCACCGTATGGCGTATCAGAATCGTCGCCACCATCATTGGTTGGAGCGTTTTCTTCAACATTGTTTGCACACTTCTCTGATTCAACTTTTTCGATGAAATCTATAATTTTTCGTGTGTCTTTGCTCGGTCTCACTGGTCGAGGATTATCTGTATCAATATCTGCTTCTAACTTGTCGAATCGATGATAGAGTCGCTTTGCCCAATATAAGTATTTAAGAGGATCTTTTGGTTCAGTGTCTTCGAGTATCCGTCGACCTCGTTCAAAAAAGTAATCAGCAATATCATGTGTCATTCGTTGTAGTAAATCTCTGTCGAAGTCAAACATTTGAATGTATTCATAATATTCCATTGCCCAATCCACATGATTATCAATAATGCCACAAAAAATATAGACCGAATGGTATGGTTTACTAGTAATAGGATCGGTAAAGACATTGCGGTAGCTTTCAATAATTCTCGGAACGGCCTTCTCACCGAGCGAACCAGATGTGATAAAGAAGATTCGTTTGTTTTGATTTACTTCAAAGGCTTCCAAGCAAGCATTTTCGTCGACAAATGCTTGTAAAAGGAATTGTACACCTCCGAATAGCACGGTAACAGGTTCTTTAGAATCAAGTAAATCGTCGTAATCTTTATCGTTGAGCATAGTGAAAGTTTCATGACGCGGATCAGTGTTACTACCGAACGCCTTTTTCAAATGTATATATTCTGTGGGAAGGCCAATACCTTGGTCCAGCCAAAATATAATGTGATTGGGTTCTTCATCATCATGATTCAAGGGAAAATCTAGGACAGCCGTTGCCATTTGTATGTAAACAAAGACTACGAATAAAGATGCTTCACGAAAGACAGAAATGCATACAATCTTGTAATTAAAATTGAAAAGGAAAATTTCTGATGTCTCAACTAAAAAATATTCTATTGGTTCGGTATTTACATCACTGTAAGATGTAGATAATAGATGGCGCACTTTCATTAGGAATGAAGCAAAAATATGTTATGCAACCTGTGTTATTTTTTATTGTGATGCTTTCACTTTGATCCAGATGAAACTAGATAAACAAGATTCCAAATAGATATCAGAGTCAACAATATTCCATTCATCGCGCCAATTGCTTTCCAGTCGATTGGTTGCATTTCGGATTGATCCAAGCGAGAATAATCGAAATGCCATCCTATCCAAGGATTCGCATAGAGTTCATTTTGTGGATAAATGCATGGTGAACGTAATCCTCTCTTGTAAAACAATCGCCGACGTATGATTGCCATTAGTCGTAATGCTAACATTCCTAATGGAAAACAAAAGTACACAAACCACTGCCAGATTGGCCATGGATCGCCGTATGGATGATGTCCGTGCGTTTGCGCTACGAACAACCAATAGTTAATGAAGTAAATGAAGCAGAAGATGAAAACAAGAATCGGTGTGGTCTTTATGTCACGTTTTGTATCATGGGGGACAAATAAAAATTCAGCTAGGCCATACCAGAACGGCATCAAATGAATAAATAATAGTGAATCTGTATACTTCGGACAGTGATGATTATTGATGCAGTTAAAGAAGAAGAATAAATGAAAGAAAAATCCCATGCCTACACTAGTTGAAAACATTAAACAATAAAATCGATCGAGATGAATTCGAAATTGTTTGATTATTGTATCGTTCAGGCCGCGCAGAATAAGAAGTATATCATAGAGGAGAGCTGCAATGATGTATATGGATAGTACAGATAGGATCCATGTTGTCACATAACGAAAACGCCATCCGGGTCCGTTGACTTCATCTGTACTGATCGAGTTCGTCGATGATTGAAATGAAGTAGTAAAACCAACTGCCTGGTATAGAAACAAACCTGTATGGTAGGTTAGATGAAGTAAATGAAGCCATACAGGATATGTCCGATGCAGTTTAATCATTCTTTGTAATGATTCTCGAAGTGTCTGAATATCCAGCGCATGGCAAGATCATATTTTCTCTTCTCACTAAGATCTATCTTTTACACGTGTTTGCTTAAGATAAATAACATTATAAAATCTTTTATCAGTTTTGTTTTACATGACTAAATGAAATTGAGATGACTAGTTTAGGTCGCGTATGAAAGGTTACTGCAAGTGTTTATTGAATGAGTTATTCTCAGAAATAAAACATCGAGCTATATTATTTAGCAGCAACAAAAGCGTTGTTAATCATGCGAACAGTGTCGATCATTTGCTTGACAGCAGCCATTTGCGGGGCACCTTGAGTAGCATAATAGAGGGAACTATATCCCCACCAATCCCAACAACCCATTGGATTTGTGGGAAGAGCAAGTGAGCGGGCAACTTGCGGGAAAATAACAATGATGTTGTTGAGTTCAGCTACTTCGAGATAACCTGCTTTGACAGCAAAGACATCATCGACGTAGTATTTTCCTATATGAAAAAAAGAAAAAAGACAATGAACGGATTCACTGGAAGTTCGAAAAATAGAAACCTTGTTGACATCCGTGTAAAGCAACATGAATTGGACATTTTTCACCATTAGTACAAGCAGATGGAAAATAAACGAAACCTTGTTCGTCGAGACTAGCGGATAAGCTCCGTGCTTGCGTTTTCTCTTTCAATGGAATGGTTACATCCGGCATGGCTTGATTGAAGAAACCTTTGACCGATCGCTCCCAACTAGTTGGATAGTGGATAGCCATGCTTTTGCCAAGCCATTGTGTTATCGCTGAACTAGCGTTTTCTCCTGTTGATAAAAACGATGGAGGATTGATGAATGCATCTTGACTAAAGACAAGCATTTGACCAGCCATAGAAGATTTCAAACCAAATTCAGGTTTAATTAGATCTCCACCGAAAAGATGATTCAATACATCGTAGGCCATGTTGAATTGGCTAAACACAAAGCAGTATATTGTCTCACCTTGTGTCATTTTCCTACTTACCAATCATTGATGAAACTTTCTTTGTTGAGTGCACTGCATTTTGTACCATAGTTATCTGTTGGAAAACCATGGTGAGCTGCCATATCGAAATTTGTTTTCACATTGGCATTGAATCGCGCATAGAGATCCTTGTTGAGTTTGACGACACCGGGATAGGCAACAGTATCATATTTACCCGAAAAAACGTACACAGGATCGTTGGCAATGTTGGCAGGATCATCGATGCTACCAGCTGATTTATATGAATTAATTTTCGATTGAAGAACAGAAACCGACACGTATAGTGCAGGTCCACTCATGCAGAGGGCAACTGTCATTCCATTACCACCACAATAATAGGGAGGACCAGCTAAAACACCGGCACCGCTGATGTCTTTAGAGAATGCGAAATGGAGTTGAGTAGCCATTGCAGCACCTGATGAAAGCCCAGACACAGTTACATCTGTACGTGGCGACTTTGCAGCAACCAAAGGAACAGTGATGAGAACAAAGAGAGTAATGATACCCCGTTGCATTATTCTATCTCGCTCTGTTTTCTTACAAATGATTTTGGAATTGAAATGCACAAAAATACTGAATCTTTTAAAGGCATCCACTATGATTAGTGAGTTTAATCCTCTCGATCATTGTGATGACGTCAAAGGCAGCAATCAATTTTTCATATCATACGGCTTAACAAAGCAATATAATTCTCAATCACGCGTTTTCTCGTCTAATGCTTCTGTTATCTGTACCCGGTACCAAGGAAGGGGTGGGTACTACCACTAAAATATTGCAGTACTGTTCGCATGTTGTTTCAGCAGAACAGTAAGTTGGTCTATATATTTCTCTGTGCATCGGCAAACCTCTAAGACGTTTTTATCATCGAACGAAACGTCCCAGATAAAACTTCTTTCGTTCTACAGTAAGTGCATTGCAGTCAATCGCACATCTGTGTCTTATTCTTGCAATGTCGATTCGAAGTGAAAGAAAAAAAACGAAAGAAAGAAGTATGTGCATTTGTTTTTTCGTGTTCTTCGTCAGATAAACGGATTTTTCTTCTGCGCAAAAAACATACTCTCCCTCTCTCTCTTTTACGTTATAAGAAAATTTTCATTTCGGTACAAATAAAAATGCTTCGTACATGTGCGCAGTTGTTACGACGACCAACGTCTCAATTTTTCCTCACGACAAGATTAACAAGCACTGATCCAACACCTGGTTCAATCAATGCTGCTCATGATAAGTTTTCCGAACGTGAACAAGCGTTTGAAAACGCTTATTTTCGTAAATTGAATGACGAACTTTTGGCACAATTACGTGATCGACACACTGACTTGGAAAAACAATCGGATAACATCGAACAAGAACAGAAACGTGTTGAGGAACAAATCAAGAAGTTAGAAAAGAAACGTGATGAGTTGGTAAAACGTTCACAAGGCTCGAGCAAAAAATAATACAGAAAAGACTTTTCTTTGTGAACACTACGATCCTTTTATTAGATTTTGAAATAAATTACCATAGAATTCCTTTTCTCATAAGAGAGAAAAAGTCAAGTGATGTTCAGTTTTTTATTCATCAAATTTTATCCGTATAGATACTATAGTTTTGCCTTGCTCTTGAACTAGTCGAAAGAGCCAGATATCGTACGATTTGCCCCACCCGTGATTTGAAACCAGAATTTCCAACTATCATTATTTGAAAGACGGGTGCCGTTCTGTTCGTATGAAAACTGCACCAAGACGGAACCATAGTACATAGTGTCAACGACATCTTCTTGTCGCTCGAAGGTCCAAATATAGGTAAGAGTTGGCGGCTTCTCCAAGTAGTCGCATTTTATGTGAACTAATTGATTCGGAGGGAAATGACTATTTGATAGATTCTTTTCATTGTGTGTACGATCCACATTTAACATAAGAACCATATTAGTGGGAATAAGAGAACAATTGATATTAATACGTGACACTTGGTATTTTTCACGCGCATAGGTAGCTTTAAAAGTAGTGATGATACATGGTTCAGTTACGTTGATTTCTGCAATAGGTGTACTTGAATTCGAAGGAAGAAGAATTACCAGTGGCGTGACAATGGCAGCAATTACAATAATAATACCAATAAACGTGAGAGTTATATAAATAGGATGTTGCTTCATTGCGAGAAATATATTGTTCAATGAACTCAGAGAACTTTTCTACAACATAAACAATCGTTAAACACATCGTTTTTATCTGTTTCATCAATATTTCTTACTTCTGAAGAGTCCACCCGAAGTTGTTCAGCAAGTTCACTGTTAGATATCAGTTGATTGAATTCTTCTACATATTCATTATTTTTCATCGATTTCAATAAAGCAGCCATTCCATTGATCATACCAGTTTGACCTGTTTCAGTTAAAAGTCGATATCGACCTTGCTCTTTTTCGATGTGTCGTTCACCATTTCCACGCACCATGTTGATTTTTATTGCATAAGCTTCGTTGTCGTTGATTTCTTCGTACGATTCCGTGCGGAACACTAGACCCATAGGTAGCATGACTTCATCTTCGAATTGCATGAAACTCATTTCACTGATGAAAGCAATTGGCTTCTCTTGAACTTCAGTCTGTTCGATGTACATGCAGATTAGAACAGATATTTCATCTTCATTTCGAGTACCTTCTCCGGAAAACATGCCAGCGACGTCTTCTTGTGTTGATGTTGAGAGAAAATTTCTCGTGACGAACAATTCTCCTTTGATTTTCAGACGGTTCACTTCTTCTTTGGACAACTTCTTCCCTCGATAGACGATTAAGTCTCGACGAAGAAGATTCGCTAACTGTTGTTCATGAAGTTGCTGCAATTGAGTGTATAAATCGCGGAGAATAAAACGAATCCGAAAAAATGCAGTGAAATCCATCAGTGCACATGTTTTACTGACGATTTGGCAAACAAAACTACTCGCTGCTGAATACCATTGAATAGCATGCGGTTCATCGTAAGTTCGTTCGAATTCTTCGATTTTGGACATATAAGTAGAATTCGTTCTGTATGTCTCTCGACAAAACTTCAAGAAATCTTGTTTAGCTTCGTTTGTTCGAGGTAAATTAAGAATCAATTCTGTTAGACAAATCTGCATGAGTAGAAGCTGGCTAGCATCATCGAGTTGTTTGATTGGCGTATGAAGCAATCGTCGAGATAAAAACTGCCCGATCAATGGTTGATTTTCAAAGATTCGACATGTATACCATTTGTTGAAACAGTCTTCAGAAATACAACGATAGATTGCGATGATCTGAGAGAATTTGGTAAATTCGTTGGCAATTTTTTTATTACTTGCATAATGGTGGTAGAGGATGAGAACCACACGTTTTCGAATAGATGAACGAATGTATTGGACACATGAAGTCAGATCATCAAATTCTTTGGATTCGATACGAGTACGTTCCAACATTTCGATGCAGATTTCATTGTTTTGAGAATGTAAAGGTATCCAGAATTTAAGCTCTTTTCGTAGAGTTTTATTTTCACGTTGTAGTCGTTCTGCATTTGAAATTCGAACAAGACCGCTCTTGACATTGCTGCTGTTCGTTGCACGTCCGATCAGTCGAACGATGACCCGATGTGCGACGTTTTCTTCAGTCATTATTTTGTGAGAATACTAGACGCTGCTATAATATTTGACTACGAATAGATTTGCGAGTTTGATTAATATGCATACAAAGGATATGTTTTTCACAGCTGAAGTTAATACCAAGCAAATAGACAATAGAAGTTATACGACTGGAAGGTAGTCCTTATATTTGTTTTATTAATATTCGCAGTGTTTGCTTCTCTTATAACCAGTCAGCTTACCAAAAATGAAAATTGACTACGATCGGATATGTGTTGTTATCATTACAGAAGAGTTTTATTCGAGAATACATGAACAGATTGTCTATGAATAGATTGGGCTTATATTTGCCAAGTGCCGTTTCCTTAAGATACGCGATGACTTGGTTGTACAAAAATATTGCACTTTAATGAAATGAGGACAACTCTTTGATCAATAAATATAAATGAGTTCTATAGTATTTTACAATGCCAGCGTGCATTGTGAAAATATCTCTTCAAATCTGTATTGAATTCATGTTCTTTTTTCCTAAATTCATTGCATTTCTCTCCTAAAGTTTGAACCATTACGGATATGAAAACATGGTCCGATGCTTGACCCATTTTCTATTGTGATGTATTCCTTCATTATCTAATATATTGATGTGTCGTTCAAATGTTACTAATCATATTCAATCAGAGAAAACTCCACACGTGGTTATTTATCGTTTTATGCAGCTCTCTCGATAGTTTCAGGAAACAGAACTAAAGAAAAAAAAGTTTGTTCCTCTTCAATAAGATTACTCGCCACATATTGGTCGTACTTCTTCGTAGTCTAGACAAATCCTTGTCTCAAAATCGTTCTTTTCTTCAGATTATGCGTCTCGTTCTTTAACACAAAACACGAAATAGAAAATAACAGTTTTGCTAGTAAAAGAAAGAGAAAAAAGATAGTTGCACTTTCATAATAATAGAAACGCCATTTTCTTATTTTTCTACGATACACACCATTCTAGTTGACAAAAAAAACGTAGGAAAATATTATTGTCCTAAGTTGTGTACAAGTGGCAAGTCATCATAATTCGCGATGAAATTATTCACAAACGGGACAAAATCGCAAGCGTATATGAATAATTTATGCTTACATTAAAATGCGTCGGTTTCGCACTACAGTTTCTTCGTTTAACAAGACAGCGATAGAACACTAGCTGATGTTTTGAGCATTTTTCTTTTCTTTTCCATCTATAGCCGTCGCCTTTTTCTCGGTACTAGTTTGAAGGAAAATGACGAGTTTATGTCAAATGTTTCTTTCGATTCTTCCATACACTACTAGTGTTATTCAAAAAACGATTGCAGAAATCAGCCACCGTGACAAAAAAACGAGGATACAATATATGACTGATAACGTAGCAATGAAAAGAGACGAAAATATATCATTATTGATTGAAATATTTAATAGGAGATATGTATGCATTTTTGTGGGTATATAAAGTAGGGTTTTTTTCGTATTCACGTGTTTTATCATATTCTACGCGATAACAAAATTCTCTCATTTTTAGCACTATGTTATTCATTCGATAGTATCACGCGAACTATATCTGAGGAGTTGATGTTTGAAGCTAATACATTGATTTGAGCAGTGAGTTTGCAAAAGAAGTTTACACGCTCCGAAAAGACTTCAGTGAGACTTGAGCATAACATCGAAACTAAGGCATATGCGTTAAAAAAATATACTTTTTATAGGTTATTGGCGACATTATAGAATCAAAACACGAACTGATTATATACCAAATATTAATAGGTTATTTCTCACTATGCCTACCATACCAAACGACGTTCGTAATTATATAAAATTAGACCGTTTGATAGGTCATTCATATGGCACACTTCGACAACTGTTTAAAACGCGCTATTCATTGTTCAACAATGGTCAAGTATGGGATGATTCACCAACATGTGGAGGGAATTATTATGCGAATGTCATTGCGAAAAATAAAGGATTTCATTTGACTTCAGTTCAAAAGATTTCGGTTCAAAGTAGTAACTCAAGTGAATGGGATCTAACAACGTTAATCGCTCTTTTATCGAATATTAACCGACCAAAAACATTATCGAATGCACAAATTCAACAGCTCCAGATGGAAGATAATCATTTAGCACAATTACGAACTATTCGGAATGAATTAGCTCATCACGCCACTAAAACCGTTTCTGATGTTGAATTTAATCAACTTTGGAATCGAATATCAACAATTTTAGTTGCATTCGGAGAAGATGATACTGAATTGGATAAGCTTAAAGACGATAGCTCGTATGATAGAAGCGATCAACCAATAAATGAAGCGAATGTTCAGGAAGCTTCACGGCTGAATTCGCTTGGCACCCGAGCTCATAAAGATCGGAAATATTCCGATGCAATCGCATTCTTTACCAAAGCAATTATATTAGCAGGTGTTAGCGATCATGATCGAGCTATTTTCTATTCGAACATGTCTTCTAGTCGTCTCGCATTGTACGAATTAAAATCTGGCGCTTCGAGTATATCAGAGATCGAGAATCCTGCTGATCTACGTTACCGTGTATTACAGGACGCGAAACAGGCTCGAAATCTATGGCAAACATGGTGGAAAGCGCATTATCGTGTTGGCAAAGCTTATGCCAGCTCAAACGAACACGAAAAGGCAATTAAATCCTTTGAACGAGCATCAGCTCTTGATCCATCCAATGTTGAAGTACAAACTGCGTTAACTGACAGTCGACAGATACATGCGCGTCAAGTTCGTCATGAACATCTCGATCCAAGACTACAGCCAAAGACAAGAGCCGAAGTATTAAACGAAATGAAAGAAAACATGGGCGTAAGTTTAGAACGTTCGCGGCTGGCAGATAGCAGGATTGGAAAAATAAATCCTACCGCAGGCGATGTATTGCAAGGACATAAATATGAACATGGAGATATAGATTGTAAACAAGATTATGAGCAAGCTGCCAAGTACTTCGCTAAAGCGGCAAGTCAAGGCAATGCTGAAGGTTTATATAATTTAGCTCGATTAACTGGTCTTGGTTTAGGCGTTAAAAAAGACATTCAATTATCTTATAAGTTATTGGAGCAAGCAGCTGCCCAGTCGCCTCAACATCCAGTACTGCCACACCTTCCAAATGTTGGTGTTGCAGAAGCTGAGCATTCTCTCGGATTGCGATATGCGGATGGCGTAGGTGTTCATAAAAACTTAGCGACAGCCGCATACTGGTATGAACGTGGTGCTAAACATGGCTGTGCAAACTCAGCGAATAATCTGGGTGTAATGTATTTAGAGGGTGCTGGCGTTGAGAAGAATCTCGACAAAGCCGAGCAACTGATAGAAATGGCAGCAAGAGGAGGTGACCCAAATGCCATGCAAACCTTAGCGACAATCTTGTTTGATAAAAATGATCTAAAAATGGCAAAAATTTGGTTTGATCGTGCATGCGAATCCGGTAATGTTTTAGCTCAAACAAATCGCAATGAATTTGAAAAGCGTCTTCAAGGAAAGCAGAAACTACTTGACGAATATCCTCCAGAGAAGTTACGCATTATGGATGTTATTCAGAATATATTGGATTCGTTTAAATCCAAAGGATCTGTCAGTAATACGTCTAATCAATCCTACATCGCTAATTATAAAGTATTCATTGAATATGCCAATCGTGGCTCATTAACAGCCAAGAAGATGTACAATGCTATAGAACATTTTTGCCGAGCATTATCCGTTCTTATGAAATCCGAAACATTGTCCGAGCAAGAAGAAAATCTATTTATACAAGAACTTTCGCAATGTTATCGCCTTGAACATATTGTTGCCCAATATTTCACAGTTGAAATGCGTCAGAAAGCTTGTGATACTGTCGACGGNAAAACCATGGTGAGCTGCCATGTCGAAATTTGTTTTCACATTGGCATTGAATCGTGCATAGAGATCCTTGTTGAGTTTGACGACACCAGGATATGCAACGGTATCATATTTACCCGAAAAAACGTACACAGGATCGTTGGCAATGTTGGCAGGATCATCGATGCTACCAGCTGATTTATATGAATTAATTTTCGATTGAAGAACAGAAACCGACACGTATAATGCAGGTCCACTCATGCAGAGGGCAACTGTCATTCCGTTGCCACCACAATAATAGGGAGGACCAGCTAAGACACCGGCACCGCTGATGTCTTTAGAGAATGCGAAATGGAGTTGAGTAGCCATTGCAGCACCCGATGAAAGCCCAGACACAGTTACATCTGTACGTGGCGACTTTGCAGTAACCAAAGGAACAGTGATGAGAACAAAGAGAGTAATGATACCCCGTTGCATTATTTTATCTCGCTCTGTTTTCTTACAAATGATTTTGGAATTGAAATGCACAAAAATACTCAGTCTTTTAAAGGCATTCAGTATGATTAGTGAGTTTAATCCTCTCGATCATTGTGATGACGTCAAAGGCAGCAATCAATTTTTTCATATCATACGGCTTAACAAAGCAATATAATTATCAATCACGCGTTTTTCTCGTCTAATGCTTCTGTTATCTGTACCTGGTACCAAGGAAAGGGTGGGTACTACCACTACAATATTGCAATGCTGTTCGCATGTCGTTTCAGCAGAACAGTAAGTTGGTCTATATATTTCTCTGTGCATCGGCGAATCTCTAAGACGTTTTTATCACCGAACGAAACGTCCCAGATAAAATTTCTTTCGTTCTACAGTAAGTGCATTGCAGTCAATCGCACATCTGCGTCTTATTCTTGCAATGTCGATTCGAAGTGAAAGAAAAAAAACGAAAGAAAGAAGTATGTGCGTTTTTTTTTCGTGTTCTTCGTCAGATAAACGGATTTTTCTTCTGCGCAAAAAACATACTCTCTCCCTCCCTCTCTCTCTATTTTACGTTATAAGAAAATTTTCATTTCGGTACAAATAAAAATGCTTCGTACATGTGCGCAGTTGTTACGACGACCAACATCTCAATTTTTCCTCACGACAAGATTAACAAGTACTGATCCAGCACCTGGCTCAATCAATGCTGCTCATGATAAGTTTTCCGAACGTGAACAAGCGTTTGAAAACGCCTATTTTCGTAAATTAAATGACGAACTTTTGGCACAATTACGTGATCGACATACTGACTTGGAAAAGCAATCGGATAGCATCGAACAAGAACAGAAACGTATTGAGGAACAAATCAAGACGTTAGAAAAGAAACGTGATGAGTTAGTAAAACGTTCACAAGGCTCGAGCAAAAAGTAATGCAAAAAAGACTTTTCTTTGTGAACACTGCGATCCTTTTATTAGATTTTGAAATAAATTGCCATAGAATTCCTTTTCTCATAAGAGAGAGAGAAAAAGTCAAGTGATGTTCAGTTTTTTATTCATCAAATTTTATCCGTAAAGATAGTATATATAGTTTTGCCTTGCTCTTGGACTAGTCGAAAGAACCAGACATCGTACGATTTGCCCCATCCGTGATTTGAAACCAGAATTCCCAACTATCATTATTTGAAAGACGGGTGCCGTTCTGTTCGTATAAAAACCGCACCAAGACAGAACCATAGAACATGGTGTCAACGACATCTTCTTGTCGCTCGAAAGTCCAAGTATAGGTAAGCGTTGGCGGATTCTCTAAGTAGTCCCATTTTATGTGAACTAATTGATTTGGAGGAAAGTGAGTATTTGATAGATTCTTTTCATTGTGTGTACGATCCACATTTAATATAAGAACCATATTAGTGGGAATAAGAGAGCAATTTATATTAATACGTGACGCTTGGTATTTTTCAAGCACATGGGTGTCTTTAAAAGTATTGATGATGCATGGTTCAGTTACGTTGATTTCTGCAATAGGTGTAATTGAATTCGAAGGAAGAAGAATCACCAGTGGCGTGACAATGGCAGCAATTACAATAATAATACCAATAAACGTGAGAGTTAGATAAATAGGATGTTGCTTCATTGCGAGAAACACATTGTTCAATGAACTCAGAGAACTTTTCTACAACATAAACAATCGTTAAACACATCGGTTTTATCTGTTTCATCAACATTTCTTACTTCTGAAGAGTCCAGCCGAAGTTGTTCAGCAAGTTCACTGTTAGATATCAGTTGATTAAATTCTTCTACATATTCATTATTCTTCATCGATTTCAACAGAGCAGCCATACCATTGATCATACCAGTTTGACCCGTTTCAGTTAAAAGTCGATATCGACCTTGCTCTTTTTCGATTTGTCGTTCACCATTTCCACGCACCATATTGATTTTTATTGCATAAGCTTCGTCGTCGTTGATTTCTTCGTACGATTCCGTGCGGAACACTAGACCCATAGGTAGCATGACTTCATCTTCGAACTGCATGAAACTCATTTCACCGATAAAAGCAATTGGCTTCTCTTGAACTTCAGTCTGTTCGATGTGCATGCAGATTAGAACAGATATTTCATCTTCATTTCGAGTACCTTCTCCGGAAAACATACCGGCGACATCTTCTTGTATTGATGTTGAGAGAAAATTTCTCGTGACGAACAATTCTCCTTTGATTTTCAGGCGGTTCACTTCTTCTTTTGACAACTTCTTGCCTCGATAGACGATTAAGTCTCGACGAAGAAGATTCGCTAACTGTTGTTCATGAAGTTGCTGCAATTGAGTGTATAAATCGCGGAGAATAAAACGAATTCGAAAAAATGCAGCGAAATCCATCAGTGCACATGTTTTGCTAACGATTTGGCAAACGAAACTACTCGCTGCTGAATACCATTGAATAGCATGCGGTTCATCGTAAGTTCGTTCGAATTCTTCGATTTTGGACATATAGGTCGAATTCGTTCTGTATGTCTCTCGACAAAACTTCAAGAAATCTTGCTTAGCTTCGTTTGTTCGAGGTAAATTAATAATCAGTTCTGTTAGACAAATCTGCATGAGTAGAAGCTGGCTAGCGTCATCGAGTTGTTTGATTGGCGTATGAAGCAATCGTCGAGATAAAAACTGCCCGATCAATGGTTGATTTTCAAAGATTCGACATGTATACCATTTGCTGAAACAGTCTTCAGAGATACAACGATAGATTGCGATGATTTGAGAGAATTTGGTAAATTCGTTGGCAATTTTTCTATTACTTGCATAATGGTTGTAGAGGATGAGAACCACGCGTTTTTGAATAGATGAACGAATGTATTGGACACATGAAGTCAGATCATCAAATTCTTTGGATTCGATACGAGTACGTTCCAACATTTCGATGCAGATTTCATTGTTTTGAGAATGTAAAGGTATCCAGAATTTAAGTTCTTTTCGTAGAGTCTTATTTTCACGTTGTAGTCGTTCAGCATTGGAAATTCGAACAAGACCGCTCTTGACATTGCCGCTGTTCGTTGCACATCCGATCAGTCGAACGATGACCCGATGTGCGACGTTTTCTTCAGTCATTATTTTGTGAGAATATCAGACGCTGCTATAATATTTGACTACGGATAGATTTGCGAGTTTGATCAATATGCATACAAAGGATATGTTTTTCACAGATATAGTTAATACCAAACAAATAGACAATAGAAGTTATATAACTGGAAGGTAGTTCTTATATTTGTTCTATTAATATTCGCAGTTTTTGCTTCTCTTATTACCAGTCAGCTTCCAAACATGAAAATTGACTACGACCGGATATGTCTTATATTTGCCAAGTGTCGTTTCCTAAGATACGCGATGACCTGGTTGTACAAAAATATTGCACTTTAATGCAGTGAGGACAACTCTTTGATCAATATATATATATGAATGAGTTCTATAGTGTTTTACAATGCCAACGTGCATTGTGAAAATATCTTCGAATCTGTATTGAATTCATGCTCTTTTTTCCTAAATCCATTGCATTTCTCTCCTAAAGTTTGAACTATTACGGATATGAAAATATGGTCCGATGCTTGACCCAGTTCTATTGTGATGCATTCATTCATTATCTAATATATTGATGTGTCGTTCAAATGGTACTAATCATACTCAATCAGAGAAAACTCCACACGTGATTATTTTCCATTTTATGCAGCTCTCTCAATAGTTCCAGGAAACAGAACTAAAGAAAAAAAAAGTTCGTTCCTCTCCAATAAGATTACTCTCTTCATATTGGTCGTACTTCTTCGTAGTCTAGACAAATCCTTGTGCCAAAATCGTTTTCTTCTTAAGATTATGCGTCTCGTTCTTTAACACAAAACACGATTACTCTGTTTAGATTGCTACAGTATAGTAGAAAAGAACGGCTTTGCTAGTAAAAGAAAGAGAGAGAAAATAGTTGCACTTCCATAATAATAAAAACGCCATTTTCTTATTTTTCTACGATACACACCATTCTAGTTGAGAAAAAATGAACCATAGAAAAATATTATTATCCTAAGTTGTGTACAAGTGGTAAGTCATCATAATTCGCGATGAAATTATTCACAAATGGAACAAGATCGCAACATTAAAATGCGTCGGTTTCGCACTGCATTTTCTTTGTTTAACAAGACAGCGATGGAACACTCGCTGATGTTTCAAGCATTTTTCTTTTCTTTTCCACCTATAACCATCGCCTTTTTTCTCGGTACTAATTTGAACGAAAATGACGAGTTTATGTCAAATGTTTCTTTCGATACCCCCATTCACTGTTAGTGTTATTCCAAAAACGATTGCAGAAATCAGACACAGTGAAAATAAAAAACGAGGATACAATATGACTGGTAACGTAGCAATGAAGAGAGACGAAAATATATTATTATTGATTGAAATATTTGATAGGAGATATGTATACATTTTTCTGGGTATAGAAAGTGGGGTTTTTTTCGTATTCACGTGTCTTATCATATTCTACGCGACAACAAAATCATTTTTAACATTATGTTATTCATTCGACAATATCACGCGAAATTGTAGCTGATGCATTAATTTGAGCAGTGAGTTTGCAAAAGAAGTTTAAACGCTCCGAAACTATAGACTTCGGTCAGATTTAAGCATAACATCGAACCTAAGGCATATGCGTCAAAAATAAAATATACTTTTTTATAGATTATTGGTGACATTATAGAATCAAAACACGAACTGCGCATACACCAAATATTAATAAATCATCTCTCACTATGTCTACTATACCAAACGACGTTCGTAATTATATAAAATTAGACCGTTTGATAGGTCATTCATATGGCACACTTCGACAATTATTTAAAACGCGCTATTCATTGTTCAACAATGGTCAAGTATGGGACGATTCACCAACATGTGGAGGAAATTATTATACGAATGTCATTGCGAAAAATAAAGGATTTCATTTGACTTCAGTTCAAAAGATTTCGGTTCAAAGTGGTAACTCAAGTGAATGGGATCTAACAACGTTAACCGCTCTTTTATCGAATATTGGCCGACCAAAAACATTATCGAATGCACAAATTCAACAGCTCCAAGTGGAAGATAGTCATTTAGTGCAATTACGAACTATTCGGAATGAATTAGCTCATCACCCCACTAAAACCGTTTCTGATGTTGAATTTAATCAACTTTGGAATCGAATATCAACAATTTTAGTTGCATTTGGAGAAGATGATACTGAATTGGATAAGCTTAAAGATGATAGCTCGTTTAATAGGAGCGATCAACCAATAAGCGAAGCGAATGTTCAGGAAGCTGCACGCTTGAATTCGCTTGGCACTCAAGCTCATAAAGATCGGAAATATTCTGATGCAATCGCATTCTTTACCAAAGCAATCACATTAGCAGGTGTTAGCGATCATGATCGAGCTATTTTCTATTCAAACATGTCTTCTAGTCGTCTTGCATTGTACGAATTAAAATTTGGCGCTTCGAGTGCATCAGAGATCGAGGATCCTGCTGATCTACGTTACCGTGTATTACAGGACGCAAAACAGGCTCGAAATCTTTGGCAAACATGGTGGAAAGCACATTATCGTGTTGGCAAAGCTTATGCCAGCTCAAATGAACACGAAAAGGCAATTAAATCCTTTGAACGAGCATTAGCTCTTGATCCATCTAATGTTGAAGTACAAACTGCGTTAACTGACAGTCGACAGATATATGGACGTCAAGTTCGTCAGGAACATCTCGATCCAAGACTACAACCAAAGACAAGAGCCGAAGTATTAAACGAAATGAAAGAAAACATGGGCGTAAGTTTAGAACGCTCGCGGCTGGCAGATAGCATGATTGGAAAAATAAATCCTACCGCAGGCGATGTATTACAAGGACATAAATATGAACATGGAGATATAGATTGTAAACAAGATTATGAGCAAGCTGCCAAGTACTTCGCTAAAGCGGCAAGTCAAGGCAATGCTGAAGGTTTATATAATTTAGCTCGATTAACTGGTCTTGGTTTAGGCGTTAAAAAAGACATTCAATTGTCTTATAAGTTATTGGAGCAAGCAGCTGCCCAGTCGCCTCAACATCCAGTGCTGTCACACCTACCAAATGTTGGTGTTGCAGAAGCTGAGCATTCTCTCGGATTGCGATATGCGGATGGCGTCGGTGTTCATAAAAACTTAGCGACAGCCGCATACTGGTATGAACGTGGTGCTAAACATGGCTGTGCAAACTCAGCGAATAATCTAGGTGTAATGTATTTAGAGGGTGCTGGCGTTGAGAAGAATCTCGACAAAGCCGAGCAACTGATAGAAATGGCAGCAAGAGGAGGCGACCCAAATGCCATGCAAACCTTAGCGACAATCTTGTTTGATAAAAATGATCTAAAAATGGCCAAAGTTTGGTTTGATCGTGCATGCGAATCCGGTAACGTTATAGCTAAAACAAATCGCAATGAATTTGAAAAGCGTTTTCAAGGAAAGCAGAAACTACTTGACGAATATCCTCCAGAGAAGTTACGCATTATGGATGTTATTCAAAATATGTTGGATTCGTTTAAATCCAAAGGATCTGTCAGTAATACGTCTAATCAATCCTACATCGCTAATTATAAAGTATTCATTGAATATGCCAATCGTGGTTCATTAACAGCCAAGAAGATGTACAATGCTATAGAACATTTTTGCCGAGCATTATCCGTTCTTACGAAATCCGAAACACTGTCCGAGCAAGAAGAAAATCTATTTATACAAGAACTTTCGCAATGTTATCGCCTTGAACATATTGTTGCCCAATATTTCACAGTTGAAATGCGTCAGAAAGCTTGTGATACTGTCGACGGCGTGCTCCGGCGTTGCAATACATCGAAAGCTGATGATTCGTTACTCGACGAAAATGCTCGAATATGTTATGTTGTATTAAATATGGATTCGCTTGAATCAATTGATCAATTTCTCGTCCGGTGTAAACAAAAATATCCCAAATCGACTTTTATTTTCGAATTAAGTTCCGCAATATACGGTTGGCTGAAACAATACGATGCGTCTCTTTACGATAGTAACACGGGCTTAGAACTAGATCCAAGTAATTGTGAAATATTGTATCATAAAGCTGTCGCATTACGTCTGCTCGGGAAGGATATGAAGGAAGCAATTCAGGCTTATCAAGCATTTTTACTGGCAGCGCCCAACGATCATCGCAAAGTGCCTGAATCTTATTATGCTATGGCTAGCTGTCATTTAGATCCGAGTGCGCAGAATGATAGAATAGATATCATCAAGAAGTTATATGGACAAGGTGAAGAAGCAGAAAAATTACAATTACCGTGTTTCTTACCTTACAAGTCCAATAGTAAATTACTCATTAAAAACATGCTTAACATGGAAACTTTGCTAAACGCGTCACCACCTTGTGTTGATCTGAAAAAAAGACTGACGAATCCGCATCGTATTGAAATCATTACACGGCATCGTCAATGGCAAGTGAGAACCTTTCAAATGCAAAATGATTCGAAATCCACTGCGGTATTCAGATCTGAAACACCTCCTGTTAAACAAAAAACAGCCAACTCATTGGTTGGCTTGAAACAGATTTCTTTGAGAGAAATGGATCCAACAAAGGATCGTGTTTATGAAGGATATGTTCTGTCTGTAACTATTATTGAAGAAGCTATGTCTTGGTCTCCATCAATCCATCTCGTGGTCGAAGATGAACGCCACGATTGTGAACAGATGTGTATTTACAATTTTCCCAATAACCAAGGACGCTATCTAACGAGTACAACATACACGATTGGAACCAAAATGAGTATTGTAAATCCGTATTTGCGGTTGGGCGCATACGATCTAAAGCCGTTGATCCGAATCGATGATCCCTTATCAATTGTGATGCACAATGAATCTGAGCGAGTACTGAATATGTGTCGATGTTGTAATCAACCGAATGCACCACATGTGTGTGGTCGATGTAAACAAGCGCGTTACTGTTCACAAGAATGTCAAGTAATGGACTGGAAAACATATGAACATAAATTATTATGTAAAAAACAATAGAAATATTATAGAAGATTATTCTATTTTAACAATTTATTTTATTATAAGAAACAAAAATATAATTAACTATACTCCATTTCTAAATATATAAATATATTGTAGGTATCATCGTATCGTCTGAGTCTGTTAATACGTATGAGAATGATATATTCACTAAAGAGTATATAAAAGGGGAGCCAGAACGATGAGCACAAGGAATGATGAGTACCAAGAAGTTAAGCACCGAAAATTTGAACACAAAATATAGATCATTTTACACTTTAAAAATAAGTGCTAAATGAAACCCTTTCAAAATCTTTTTCTCGAATATGAAGATATTAACATAAATTTTTAGATCTACAAACTTTTAAACAGATGTGCAGAATCTGCATGTATATTTTTTTTTATCGGTCTGAAGCTAGCACCATCGAGCTAGCACCATTAAACTAAGGATTTTCTGAAAACGAATTCCGGTCGATAAAACCGAGTGTATTCGATGTAGAATTTAATTCTGAGTCCAATGGTGACATTTTCATTCACCGGAAAACGTTCGGAGAAAAATTTTCTTTGATCTTTCTTTATCCTCGNTTGCTAAACGCGTCACCACCTTGTGTTGATCTGAAAAAAAGACTGACGAATCCGCATCGTATTGAAATCATTACACGGCATCGTCAATGGCAAGTGAGAACCTTTCAAATGCAAAATGATTCGAAATCCACTGCGGTATTCAGATCTGAAACACCTCCTGTTAAACAACGAACAGCCAACTCATTGGTTGGTTTGAAACAAATTTCTTTAAGAGAAATGGATCCAACAAAGGATCGTGTTTATGAAGGATACGTTCTGTCTGTAACTATTATTGAAGAAGCTATGTCTTGGTCTCCATCAATCCATCTCGTGGTCGAAGATGAACGCCATGATTGTGAACAGATGTGTATATACAATTTTCCCAACAACCAAGGACGCTATCTAACTAGTACAACATACACGATTGGAACCAAAATGAGTATTGTAAATCCGTATTTGCGGTTGGGGGCATACGATCTAAAGCCATTGATCCGAATCGATGATCCCTTATCAATTGTGATGCACAATGAATCTGAGCGAGTAATGAATATGTGTCGATGTTGCAATGAACCGAATGCACCACATGTGTGTGGTAGATGTAAACAAGCGCGTTACTGTTCACAAGAATGTCAAGTAATGGACTGGAAAACATATGAACATAAATTATTATGTAAAAAACTATAGAAGTATTATAGAAGATTATTCTATTTTAACAATTTATTTTATTATAAGAAACAAAAAAATAATTATCTATACTTCATTTCTTAATATATAAATATATTGTAGGTATCATCGTATCGTATGAGTCTGTTAATACGTATGAGAATGATATATTCACTAAAGAGTATATAAAAGGGGAGCCAGAACGGTGAGCACAAGGAATGATGAGTACCAAGAAGTTAAGCACCGAAAATTTGAACACAAAATATAGATAATTTCAGTAGTGTCAAACTCGAAAGTTGAATTCATTTATTCAACTATTATATTTGAATATGTAAATTTTCAGTTATGGAGTTCCAAAATCACGCCAACACACGTGATTTTCTCATCGCTGCCTTCCGAGACAACACCCTTCGTGGCACCCTCGATCTTGTAATAAGGCACACGTCTCCTTTTTACCGTCACTTGATATTTTTGCGGATGATTATCTGAATAGCTAAGCTCAGCTTTTGAGTATTACATGTATGATTTTGGATTGCTTCAAAGTTCTAATCAGAAAAAAAGTGAGTTGAATTCTATGAAAAATAAACCTTTTTACTTTTTTATTATAGATAAACTTTCATGAAAATATCTAGAGTAATTTTAATATCTATCAAGCTCTTTTTTGATAAAGATCATCTTAAGTATGAAATGTAAATTGAATATGATTTTCGACAATGAAAATCGATACATTCCTCTTCTTATTGCAGATTATTCCAGAAATGTTATTTAGATGTGAGTATGATCTTCGAGTTCTACAAAAATATATTTAACTTTCTGTTACAGAACTCTTCAGGTATCAAAATTATTAATTAAGTTTAATATTATAAGAGAAAACTGTTATTTTTTATTTTAACGTTATGGATTAAATTGCAAATTTTTGTTGAAGGTACGTTTCGTATTGTATAAAGTTAAATTCATTTATTTACTTCCATTTATGATTTCCTTTTGACACGAAAATCATCATTAAATTGAATCTTAAATGGAATGGAGTGTTGATTATGCGCAAAACCATTTTATTCAACAAGTTAAAAAGCGTAATGCAAAGTACTTTGTACGAAATCCTCATTTCAATTATTTCGCAAAAGTTCGGTGGAAAAAAATGCATTTCTACAGAACCAAAACAGGTTCTTCCCCTGTATCGGGGGGAAAAACTATTTTACTTTTGTAGAATATCTCTTTTTTAGAGTATAATGTTTGACCAGTATATTACAGATGTGATAAACGTGGCATATCGAATATCAGTTGTGAAAAGAAAAAAGCATCCGACTGATGAGTTAAGCCTTCATCAATATATCAAAGAGGGATAAACATGACGTATTAAATATTAATACATTCACTTTCTTTCTAGAATACCATGCAAAAAACAAATCTTGGATAAAGTGTGCCTGTATAAAAGAAAGTATTTTTATTGTTTTCGATCATTCTAACAAAAAAAAACTAAGTTTTACAATACAATACAAAACACGCTTCTGACTTTGTTACATTTATAACGTAATTAGAAACGGTAAGTTTCAAGTATTTTAATTTTTTTAATTAAATTTTTATTTAAATACCCGACGATTATTGCTACGAAAAGCTTAGAACTAGGACAAAAAGGTTTCTACTTCTATGGTTTGCACGGGAGTTTTTAAAAGTTCCAGAGATTCAGAATAAATTAAGAGCAATTTTTCTCTATACGCATACAATATTCTCATATTTTAAAACAGAAATAGACGTATCGTTGTGAATGATTCTATACAGTAGAGTCGATCACTCGTATTTTTCTTCTTTTCTCACTTATCGATGATTTGCACTATGGTTAATGATTTCATAGTTTACTTTTTTTTGTTTTCATTCATAGATCATTCTATTGATTATCACCCTCAAGATGCTCCTCGTTAGAACTCGCTTAACTCTCAACTGAATTTGATCTAATAATTTTTTTGTCACTAGGGGTGAATTATATACATTAATTTAAAACTAACTAGTGTCAATCTATTCCTCGACCTCGACTACCTTTGATCAAACTTGAGGATGAATGTGCTTTTCTTTTATCATGAGTTTCCCGTGAGTGTTCTTTTTTATCTTTGATCTTTGACTCGACGACAGGCAAACAAACAAATGCATTCCTTCGTCTGACTCTCCCTTGAATCGAGGGAATATATCATTTACTAGATATCAGCTTTACCGAAATATAATTAATGTTATCTAATCTTATGGCCCACATTTCTGTGCAGAACTGGATGCAAATTATAATTAAAAATCCACGTAGTTTATTATTTATAGAGAATATAAATTTTGCTTTTGAAGGTTCATTTTTTGTTAGCTAAAAATAAGAAATGTAATTGATCATAATTGAAAGTAAATATTTATAAAGACCTACTCAAGACTTTTTATTTAGGATAAAAGCGCTTTTTTTTACTCCGTTTGCATTCACTAGGCAAAAGTATATAGTAAAATTATAATGCGCTTTTACTAGAACGCGATACTCTGTATTGAGAACCAGGACTCCGCGTGGGATGGGATAATCCCATCCCATCCAATGGGATAAACGTTTATGTAAAATTTTCCAGTTTATCGAAAAAAATCATATAGATACTGTTTTAAATTCTTCAACAAAAGTAACATCAAAGTATGTTTTCAAAAGACTCTTTGGGGGGTTACGACGCATAACAACTAGACGATAATCTCGATCAAAATAAAGATGTTGCAAGTTCGAAGTAAAAAATTCACTCATGCTTAGAAAGTGTTATGTCAGGAGATGTCTCTACTGACATAACAGAAAGCCACTTGAATAAAATTTTTGGGGAAAATGTGTGTTTTGGCGAAAATTTGGCTAAGTTTTGATCCGAGTGTGTCGCGACATAATTTAAGGCCGGGCATCTTGTTCCTGAGGGAGATGAGGGGGTCTTCATTTATGACTCTAAGATACTCAATTATTTTTTTTGTATTTAAATAAATGACGATATGTATTTTTTAAAAAAGACAAAAAATTTCTGTCCTATCCCATCCCATGGGATGCACGAAGAAAAAATTATCCCACGGGACGGTTTTTTTCGTCCCGTCCCATCCCATCCCACGCAGAGCCCTGTGCGGAATATAAAAACAAAACGTAATTGTATAACTGATCGATAAATAGTACATATTTGTTGCATAGTTATACATAATAAACACATTATATATTTTAGATAAAAACAACTATGCGCTGTTCATATGTTCTTTATCTGTGCAGCTTCATAGCAATAGTAAATAGTGCATCAGCAACGCAAATATTGAAATCACAAAACTTTGGTTCAGTTCAAGCGGATCAAGTTCCTTTTACTATCGATTTCACAAACACTCAAAATGCAAAACTCAAATCAATCAGTGTTTATCATGATATATATATTCATGGTTTGGAATTCACATTTACAGATAATACTGTAAATTCTGTTGGATACAAATTAGGAACTAAAAGCACAGTTAGCTTAATAAAGAAAGAGATAAGAATTTTGAGAGTAAAATCTGGCGCTTGGGTCGATTCGATACAATTTTGTTTCTCAGCAACTGATTGTACACAACATTTTGGTGGTACTGGAGGTGGTGAAATCGTTGAATTCAATTTAAATAATTTAACAAATCAAAATTATAAAATTGTTGCATTAAGTGGAGCATATATTGAGAAATATACTGCATATTGGACCGTTAATACTTTAAATATATTAAGTGTGTCGTACCAATTGATCGATTCAACGCAAAAACATTGCACAATTTCGTTGACAAATATGAAAGACAATGAAATATTCAATCATAAAACTGTAATATTTAATGGCGAGATCATTACTAATGATGGGCAGAACACAATACGTAACATTCATGTGAATAATGCAAACTCAATCAACTATGCAGATAAAATCGATACTCAATGGCCTGTCAACATCTTTAATCAATTCAAAGGCTTAATAAAGCTTGAGAAGGGAACTAACAAAATCACCATCACTTACGATGTACTACATTTTAATATTTTTTTCTTGTTAGTATATTCATTATTAATTTTTTTTTAAGGAAACTTCAAACCAAGGAGCGAAATGTAGTTTGACGATAAATTTAGTCTACGAAGAGGACTCGACAGTTGAACCCGTACACTTGGTTATGGTTGTTGCGAAGGACAGCAAATTAGTTTATGATACGGAACCAGGTGAAGTAAATAATTTAGAATCAGCTAAATGGAAGTATCGAACAATGGCATGGCTTTGGCAAGCGTTTACAGATGATCAAATTTATAAGCGAAATAATATTTCTGGTCATCGTTGCTTTAGATTGGATGAAAGTGAACTTATAAATGAAGAATATTGTAAGCAATCGAATAGTTTCTATTTAGAAGTGATTGTAGGATATAGATTTATTTTCTTTTAGATCCAAAAATCCATGTATTACAAACTGATATGACTACAGCACAAATTCAAGCCAAGGAATCAGATTTATTTGGCATGTGTAGAGAAGTTGTTATAAACAATCCAACAAAGTTCATTAGGCCACAGAATTTGCCATTACAGTTTACATGTTTGTTTNGTTTATCATGACAATTACGTTCATGGTTTGGAATTTACCTACACAGACAATACTGTTCGCTTTTTTGGATTTAAAATTGGAAACAAAGGTCAATTCAGTTTAGTCAATAAGGAACTAAGAGTTTTAAGAGTACAATCTGGTGCTTGGATTGACGCATTACAATTTTGCTTTTCAGCAACTGACTGTACACAACAATTTGGTGGTACGACAAGTGGTCAATGGTCAGCTGAATTTAATTTAGATATTATAGGCGGCTCACAGTTTTATAAGGTGTCAGGATTGAATGGAGCATTCATTGAGAAATATAATACAGATTGGACTGTTAATACAATGAGTTCAATTACAGTATTATACAAGAAAATCTGAAAAAAGTTCAATAAGATTTTTAAAATAATATAAAGTATAGTTTGATTTCTTGTAATTTCTACTGTCAACAGTAAATTCTGCTATTTCTTGTATTATTTTATTAATAAAGGTTTTATTAAATAGATAAAACTAACTATTAAAAAAAATAACGCTCGCCGAAGCTAACTCGCTTTATCCTCAACTGAAAGATAAATATATAGTCAAATTGCTGTTAAGTTTTTGTTTATTTTATTTAAGAGAAAATGTTTACTGATACGAAGTGCATTTATTTGTTTTTCAATACTACATATAAAGACACAATGATGATATAATCAACAACTACACGACAGAAAAAAAATGTTCTGTAGCTATACCTAACACTAAAAGAAGTGAATATTGAGTATAAGCGAGTATGTATATGAAAAGTACAGCTAAACAATAGTATGTACAGTAAAATTGAAAAAAACTATAATTGTATTACTAACAACAAACGAACAAAAAGACTTCTTAATTATCCAAACGATGTGTGCAGTTACAAGAGATATGAAGGGGACCACTCCCTCAGAAAGACTAATAATTTTGCTCCGCACGATAACAACATAAGAAGTAAAACAATGCGTTCAAAAGATTATCGATTTATTCGAATACTTTTATTTAAAGTATTGTTTGCTGTTGTAATTTCAGTTCCACTTTGTCATGTTTTTGGTGTTACGAGGCTAAAATTGCATAGTCTACTTCTTTTTATCTGATCCACTATGGGAAGATTTTCGGAATTTTTCTTAATTTTGGTTAGGGCGAATAATTTAGTTGGGAACAATTTTTTTCCGAGGAAGGACTCATTGTAATAATTGGGAATGAAAACTCTCGAGTTTTTTCCTCATGTAATTTCGCCTACAGAATTCATAATCGCAGTTAATCCTCTGATTAGGTTTTTTTTTATTTAGTATTGCTTTTATATGAGAAAGTCAATCAAAAACTATATCGGTCGATAAAACGAGACCAATCTCATTACTTCGATGTTTTTCTAAACTGTTCGAAAAATGCTTTCTCTCTCATTTCCAAATTTGGGCTAAAGATGCAGGCATTCTACCTCAAGAACAAACTGGTTTTAGGCCAAAGCATAACATGGCAGTTCGTCTTGTATCAATGATCGATCAAATCAGACAAAGTTTATCAATGAATACAGCAACTGCTGCACTTTTTGTGGATTTTAGTTCCGCTTTCAACCAACTGTGGTTCAATGGTCTCTGGTTGAAACTAACGAAACTAAATTGTCCACTCTACCTAATGCAATGGCTGCGACATTATCTCGAAGAAAGGAAAGCTTACATTTTTATTGAAGAAATATCGTCCGTCACTTTCAACTTATCAAAGGGAGTTCCTCAATGAAGTTGTGTGGGGCCGGTGTTGTCCATTGTCTATCATTATGACATACTGGAAGCACTATCAACAATTCATTGGAAACATCTGTACGCCGATGATCTGGCCATACTAATTGCTCCGTCATCTGCATTATCATCGATAAACATGATTGAATCGATGATTAAACAGTTAAAACAAGTGCTAGTTCGTCTAATTAAATATTCTAAGAAATGGAAACCATCTATCAACTATCGAAAAAAGTTCTGGACACTTTACAATCGTAAGGGTGCTCGTGAGATACCTGTTATTAGATGTAGAGGTCATATAATCAACCATGTGAAACAAATCAAATACTTAGGCACAATAATAGACGCAAATCTATTCTTCTCACCACATCTGGACTACATCAGATCGAAAATATACACAAACATCAACGTTTTCAAAAGATTAGCATCTAGTCGTATGATGTGTGAAGAAGTAAACTATCGTCTATGCAATGCCTTCATTAGGTCGTACGTCCAACCAATCTTAAACATCTATTCAATGCTCTCGAGAGATAAAAAGAATCAAATGGAAGCACTCAACAGAAAAATATTTAGGATAACTCATCAATGGTACGATGCAAGAACTGTCCAAATTGAAAACCTGCCAAAGTACTATAGAATCGAAGAATTAGTAAGAGCACATTGGGATAAACTAACGCCTACGATTCTCGAAAACAAATGCCAGTGTGATCGAAGATTTCTTACAGCACAAAATGTCAAACATCTATTTGAATGAATACCTCACGAACCCAACGTTAGCAAAGCAACGAAAGCAGGTATTCAAAAGGGGCAGAATTCCAAAGAGCATACGAAATCGAGTAACAAAACAAAAATTGTCACTCTTCAATCATGTTCTGTTTCAACTAAATCGAACAAAACATCAGTTTCTGGAAAAAGTATCTCTGAATTGATTTTCTCTCACGTCAGTAACGTCTGTTTTTTTCCTGCTACAGAAGCGATGTTCGCTTATAGCATATAATAAAGCGTTATATATGTATACGAGAAAGTCCTGTAGGGTCATAATACGCAATAAGATAAAAAACTGTCTTCAAAGTTTCTAATTCATAATTTTTTGCTGAACATTGTATCAAGAGAAAAAGCGAATTCATTTAGATTATAGAATCTAATAAATTTCCAAAGAACCCATGTTGAATGTCAAGGACAAGGACATGACCTTTTTCTGTCCGAACTCCGGATAGGCTCACATATGTGTTTCAACTCTAGCGTCACTGTTTTCGAGTAGAACCCGATGAACTCTATCGATTAGAATCATAAAAAACTATTCCCCAAACTCTCCTCACCCTCAAGAAAAGCTTCATCAATTAATTAGATAGAAACTCATCTGCCGCACGAACGGTATACAAAAACTATTATAATCTCACATTCTAATTTTTAACTACCGTAACTATTTTCTATAATCCGACATGTACGAAACCCTTTTATTTACGAAACAATACATAAAAGTCATCCTTTTTAGAAAGTGCCCGATAAATGAAAAGGTTGTCCATTGATAAATTGAACCCATATTTCCCAAGTGTCGTTTCCTAGGATACGTGATGCATTAGCTGTGTAATAGAATTGCGCTTCGACGAAGTGAGGAAAACTTTCTTTGACGATGTACATGCCAGGTAGCGAAAACCAAGTGTAAATAATCTCCGTTGGATTTTCCACATACGTCATATTTGTTGACTGATTCCAAAATGTTTGATATTGCTGAGCATGAGTTTCATTAAACCTGCGTTGAACTTTTTTGGATGATAGTCATATTCGACAGCGTTTCAGAACAGAAAAAGTAAAGATGTTCTACTTGATAGTTCGGCGATGGATTTTGGACAGACGGTACTGCTATACATATCAGTGGTCGATCAGATAATTCTAAATTTGACATTAAAGAAATTGATGTCGTGTTGAAATAAAAATGATTTTGACGTCAAGTAGTCAGAATTTTCTATCCGACTATGGTTTTAAACGATAGAAATCCACTAAGCTTATGTTTCTCAATTAAATATCAAAAGAGACTTACTGAGATCATTCACAGCGCGAAAGAGAAATGGAACAGCTCCCAATACATTTAAAATCAGAAAAACGTTTATGGCTTGTTGAATGAAAGTCATACCCGTGGTAGCACTGGAAACTATCTACAATTGAATACTTTAAACAATAGATTTCATAATCAAATTCATACCTGTGAACTAGGTGGTTGTTCAGGAATTTCTATCGCGATGTGTGGATTATCAGGAAGATGTTCCATCACAGTGAGCTCGTGCGACGTTGATGCATTGTCAAGTTGCTAAATAATAGATTCAATGTATAAAGTCAGAATGTGTACTACTTTCCATAAACGAAAACGAAAAGAGCCGGTTCAAATGAAACTAACATGTTCTTTTACCACTTTCAATGAAAGCTAAATCGTTTCTTTTATATAACAAAGGGTGATGAACTCACCTGCGCAGATGTGTTATGATTATTAACTGCGATCGACTGATGTTCTCCGGCTGAAGTGTGTGGTGCATGGTATGCTCGAGAAGTTGACTTTAGATGGTGATTTATATCTGTTGTAACTTGAAAAATGTGCATGGCGGTAAACGCGCTTAAACCACCATTTCCTATCAAGTTGAGGTATCGACTTGCATGTCTCTCAAGTTTCACTTCTTCTTCTCCGCGAACCATTTCAATTTCCCACCTTGAGTTCAGACCGCTTCCAGTTTGTATGCATGATTTGACGCGAAAAATAATTCCCATACACAAAAGCACTTCTTTCTCGTGCGGCATTTGACTGATATGATCAATATGTGCAATTGGCTTGTCTCGTATGTCAATATAATCAATGTTCATTGTGAGAAAAACTGAATGACCATTAGTCAAACCGCTACCTTTACCTGCAAATGCAGCTATAACATTTTTTTCTGTAGTAGTAGACACGAAGCATCTGTTTACAAATAAAGCACCTTGTTGAAATTGGTTCAATTCCTCTTCCATCATTTTGGCACCACGATACACTGTCAAACCTGATCGCAATAGTCCAGATTGTATTTGTTCAGTATGCTGTTCTTTCAATCCTTGATATAAATCGTGCAAAAAAAAGCTTACATTTGGTAGTGCATCAAAGTCTAGAGCAGCACAAGTGTTAGCAATCATACGGTTAAGAAAGTTCTTGCTTCCTGAAAACCAGTATATTGCGTTCCGCTGGTAGGATCTTTTGAACTCGTCCATCTCTTCTATATACTTTGGATATATTTTATCACCTTGATACTTCACTTTACAATATTCGATAAAAATATCCATTGCATTATTTCGTTGTGGAATATATTGTATCAGGTCAAGAAAGATAATTGTCATTAGCACTGCTTGCTGAGGTTTATCAAGAGTTTCAACAGGAGAGGTAACATCGATTTCCGCAAAACTTCTCAATACAGAGTACTTGTTCTTGGAAAATAAACGACTTCTTCTGCTTTTATATTGTTCTTGAGAGATACAACGGTAGATTCCAATAACGTTTGCTAAATCTCCAATAGCCGACTTAATATAGTTATCATCTGCCTGTTCATTGAATATCAGAAGAATAATTCTTTTCTTGCGAAATGATTGTATGTGGCGGATACATTCATTTATATCATTGAATTCGACTGACTTAGTTTCTGGTTGTCCCAGCATTTCAGACCATGATTGTCTTGCCTCAGAAGGTAGTGGTATCCATGGTTTTAAATCGTTTTTCAATCTTTGAACGCTTTGGTTGAAATATCTTACATTGTGGATTTGGAGCAGCCCACTTTTCATTTTAATTTGATTAACGTCTCTACCTGATGACGCATCTACAAGACGCACTATCAACAAATCGTTTACACATTCATCCATGTTTGATTGAGGAAGAATATTAATTGCCGCAGCCATTACTTTCTGTGTAATAAAACGAATAAAATTGTGCAAAAGAACTGGCTCAAATTAAACTTGGAAATTATTTCTTCCTGTTTCACTCCATGACGTTCGCTATTTATTTTATGCGTAGTGTGTTATTATGCGACAGGAACCATAAAAATTGTTTTAGAGCATTCAAACCTCTTTATTTCGCTTTATATACATTTAAATGTTGTCTTTTACTGGTTTTTTTTCGTATAGACGCATGTTCTTGAGTCAACAGTGAATAATGTAACGCATAATAGTGGTAAATATTGGTGACAGCGTGCTTCAATATTTTTTTAATCACGTCCAGTCGCTTTTCTGGCTTTTTGACAGAGAACTACCGTTCCATTATGTCAGTCGTGAAGGTAAGAAAATGTGTATTGGTAACGTAGTGCGCGACGAAAAATGTAAATATTAGCTATTGTCATAGACATTCTATTGTTTCTGGAAAAAATCAAACTGGTAGCAATGAAAGAAAAGAAAACTTTATATGGCTTTAACCCACATGATCCGCATCGGCAAATCCGAGTCACAGTGCTAAAAGCGAAACTCAACGCGCAAAGAAACTGTACAGTTTTAAAAATATACGGATTCTATTCTAAATAATAGTATTTCGAAACTTTTTATTTGATTTTAACTATCATTTTTAAAATGATTGCATGAAATTCATTTCGGCCTTAGATAATGAAAAAGTACATTGTAAAATTACATCGAAAAGACATATCCGATCATATATACATAAAGAGAGAGTTGACTTGTTATTAATTTATATTGGAAATTCAATATTTAGTCTCATTACTTCGTCTTCTTATTTCCTATCTCTATAAAAACGTGACAGTGTAATATGATAGTCTATCTATGTACGTGCAGTCTAATTGTGTTGATATGAAGAGAAAACATAGTGCTTGAGTAGATGTGATCAAACCAGAATATTCCTTCTACGCAGAATCGTAACTGAGAGAAGTTCTTGTCGATGAATATCACTGTGAATACGTCATCCATATCTCAATTCCAACTCGCTTCCAGATATCTCAGTCATACTTTTGCCTTGCCTCTATGCATCGTTGGTATACTGGGTAATCT